GGCACAGTGGGTGCTGGGATGATCAGGGACACGAGGTTTATTCCTCTCAGGACCATCCAGCTGAACCCTCGTTGCTCACAGGGATTTCCTGAGCTCCCCCATTTGCAGCAGCTCCTGACACCCAGTAGTCGGCCTGGACTTACAGTTCTGGAGGTCTAGGATCCCTGGCTTCCTCATGTTGATGCTCCCAACCTACATGTATCTTTCTTTCAGCCCCTCCCTGACTTCGCCTCTTGTCTCACTCCTAGCACAAACCTGCCTGTGTCACCCTCTCTGTAGAAACCATTCATGATTCTCTGTTCTCAGCATCAAATTCAAGGTCCATAATGGAGCTGACCAGGCTGTGAGTACCTGACCTCTCATTAGCTGACCCCCAATTTCCACACTGGAGCCAGGGGCCTGTGCTCTGAAGGCACCACCTGTGACCCTCCTCTCCAACTCAGGGCCTTCGTACCTGTTGCTTCCACTCCATCTTTCCTTCTATTGCTTTTTGAGACAGGGTCTTGCTAAGTAGTGCAAGCTGCTCTTGAACTCATGATTCTCCTGCCTCAGGCTTCCAGAAATTATAGGTACACACCACACCTGGTTTTTCTTTTCTTTCCTTTTTTTTTTAAGTTATAAAAAGCCAAAGCCAGGGATGCAGCTCAGTGGTGGGGCCTTGGCTTCAATCCCTAGCACCTGTGCCTCAAAACTGTAAATATGCAATTTAACGCACAATTACAATAGTAACACTCATACAAGTGTATTCCCCCAGATTAAGAACATTTTACTATCTCCCAGGAAACCTAGCTCCTTCACCTTCCCCTGTCCCTCCCCTTCCTCCTTGGCAGAAGCTGCTCTTCCTAAAGGAGCTACCCCTGCCTCCACCATCCAACTCTCCCCACTTCACTGCCTTGCACCTTACCTACACTCAGGTCCCCTGGGCCTACTGAGGCTGTCCCCTAGTACAATTCATTCACGACTTTGGTCATTATTTGTTTGCTGTCTCCTCTGGTCCACTTAGCTCCAGAGCCAAGCAGGAGGCCTGGTACACTCCAAGTGCTTGCGTGTGAGTAGAGACAAGATTCTCTACTACACAGAGCTGCAGAGGCAGAGCCAAGGGTTACTGAGCTGGTGCCAGGCTCATTGAAGGTGCCTGTTCTTGATGTGCTGAGGCTGGACACAGGTTGTCACGCTAGCTGGGCTTAGGGGACTGGACAGAGGACAGTGGGTGCCAAGGATGCTGGGCTGCCAACTGCAAGAGGCAATATAGAAAGCAGGTACACAGAGGCACCTGGGGGCCCTTGAGGCCCCAGGACTGCCTATAGCAGGTGGCCCTGGGGAGACATTCTTATAAAGGCAGGGCCTCATTCCTTTTATTTTGGTGGGACTCAGGTTTGAACTCACGGCTTCCATTTGCAAAGCAGGCACTCTGCTACTGGAGCCATACCTCCTGTCTATTTTTTTTTTTTTGGTTGTGTGTGGTGCTGGGGTTTGAACTCAGGGCCTACACCTTGAGCCACTCCACCAGCACTTTTTTATGATTTTTTTTTCGAGATAGGCTCTCTCAAACTATTTGCCCAGGCTGGCTTTGAACCGAGATCCTCCTGATCTCTGCCTCCTGAGTAGCTAGGGTTACAGGCGTGAGTCACTGGGGCTCAGCCCTCCAGTCTATTTTGGTCTGGTTATTTTGGAGATTGGAGTCTCATGAACTATTTGCCAGGGCTGGTCTTGAACCACAATCCTGATCTTGTAGCAGGAAGGAGGACCAGAAGAGAAACAGACATGCTTGAGTTCTGATAAAGTGGGGGTGGGTAGGTAAGGGGGGGAGGATGGCACTGCAGAGAGATAAAGCCTAAAGAATTCAAAGGTGAAGAAAGTCACATAGCACTAGGCTGAAGTAACTATAGAATTGCATGTAACCATATGTGAGTTAAACCTTGCTTTTTAATTTTATTGCCTCTGTAACCTGCTTGCAATGGGGACACAAGGTGAGACCCCTTTGTTCTTGGGGCTCAGCCTTTGGACACTAAAGCATTGCTTCCTTGCCTCAGAGTCCTGTGTGTCTGGAGTTTCCCATAACAATCTCAATTTCCCAAGTAGCTAGGATTACAGGTGTGGGCCACAGGTGCCTGCTTTTGTTTGTTTTAAATAATCTCTTCCTCACCCCACCCAATTCTAATGACAGCCAGGCTTGAGGTCCACTGTCAGGCACTGCTCTAAGGGCTCATTTATTATTTATTTATGTACTCATTATTTTGGCAGAACTGGGGATTGAACTCAGGGCCTTGAGCTTGCTAGGCAGGCACTCTATCACTTAAGCCATGCCTTTGGTCCTTTTGCTTTTAGTTTTTCAGATAGGGTCTGTGCTTTACTCAGCTAGTTTCAGACCATGATCCTCCTTACCTCCACCTCCCACCAGACAGTATAGGAGGGTGCCACCATGACAGGCTCTAGGGCTCACTTAAGACTCCCTGATTTCATAGATGAGGAAACTAAGGCCCAGAAGGTCCAGTCACTTGCCAGTACCATACAGTGAAGGCCTGGGAGAGGGAGGTTTGACCCTAGGTGGGCTGACTGTAGTCCATACTTTTAGCTACCATGGACATGTTTCCTTAAATCAGCTCATTTTATTTTCCTTAACTTGTCTAGGGCAGTATCTGAAGAATCAGGGGATGGGTTGGGAGCCCTTTTTCCACATTAAAAGCAAACCTATATGCGCTTAAGATAAAACACTTCCCTTCCATACCACTCAAGTCACCTCTAGCACCCCATTTTGGGAAATGCTGTTTCACACTAGAGCCTGGTTGCCTAGGAGAAAACTTCAGGAAACAGCTTTAATGAGTAGATAAGAATGATTTGCAATTAGCATCAATTGTTTATATGCAAATTAAAGCTCCCAACAGCAGGACCCTCTTTTGTAGCAGGATCCCCTCCCATTTTGTTCCCTTCACTTCAGGGCTCAGCAAATCCTTCTGGAAGACACAGGGTAATTTTGTACCCACCCCTGCCTCTGCCTCTACCACTGGTGGCACTCCTGCCTTTATATCATAGATTTCAAAACCCCACAATTACTCAGGATCAACAACATGGACTTGTATCCAGAACAAGGGCCACTACAACCAAGGCCCAAGACCCAGATGTCGACTCTCTAGGTCCCATGTCCTTATCCCTCTTGGTGGGTGCAGTTTTCTATATGTGTCTTAGTGATGACTGGGTTATCATCTGTGCTGAGGGCTGGGGTCTTGTCTTGATTTATTATTTCTCCTCAGCTCCAGCATAGGCCTGGGACAGGAGAGATCGCCAGGATGAATGAGTAACTCAATGAATGTTCAAAACACAAGTTCAAAAGATTAGAACCAATGGGACAGAGACCTCCCTCCCTCCCTCCCTCAGTCTTTCTTCCCCTCCCCTTTTTGGCTCATTCAGTCTCCACCTCAGCCCTTCTCCAGGGCTGTTTCACTCAGGAGCATCTCAGACCACAGAGCCCAAGGCCAGCAAGGCTAGCACAGACACCACAGCAACCTTCAGCCACTGTTTTCAAATCTGTCAGAGAACACTGACACCACAGCAACATTCAGCCATTGTTTTTAAATCTGTCAGAAAACCAGTAAGTCAAGAAATCACTTGGGCGGAGATAGACCAGCACCATGCAATTTTAGACTAGACCCGATCAAAGTGCATCACGTATAAAAAGGTTAAGGATTATTCTGGAAACCACTGCCTCACCAATTTTTTTTTTTGGGCAGTACTTGGGTTCGAATTCAAGGCCTTGCACTTGCTGGGCAGGTGGCTCTACCACTTGAGCCACTCCACCCGCCCTGTTTTTTGTGTTGGTTTTTGAGCTAGGATTGTTCAAACTTTCTCAGGGCTGGCCGTCATCCTCCTGGACAGGTGGGGCTGCGAGCATGAGCCACCGGGGCCCGGGATTATCTCTTAGACAGCTCTACACAGAAACATGGACGGGGACTCAACTCCATGGTGGGCTGTGTCACAGGGGCCTGAGGCTGCTGCCTGGGGGCATACGTCCCTTGTACTTGGGGACTAGCAAAGGTATTAGGAAGCCCCCTGGGCCAGGAAAGCCCTCAGCAAGGTAGTCCTGGGTTCAGGCTGGGAGGTGGTGAGGCTCTGACCAGAGTTCCCAGGGCAGGACTGTGGCCAACAGCTCTGCAGACTTAGTTCCCACCTTTGGGCATCCTCCTGGGAGGGACCCTGGAACTGTGGCATCCTGGCATCTACTGGGAGCTTTTTATAAATGCATATTCTTGAGTCCCATCCTGACCCACCGCATCAGAAATGCTGGACAAGGTCCAGCAGTTTGTGTGTCAGCCTAACAGGGGACAGGTTGGGGCCTGGTGCTCTACACTATGAGGGATGGGAGGCCAAACCATGTTCTCCCAGACCTTGTAGCTAGAATGGGCTGCTAAACCACCTGCTGCAGTGGATTCTGGGGAGGAGTATGCTTTTTCCATAGAAAGGGGCAAACTTTCCTCTGTTCTTTCCGCCACATTTGTCAGCCTCCCCGACTCTGCATGGCACCACAACCACCTTGAGACCAGAGAAACACCCAGCACGTGAGCACGATGGGACAGGAAGTCACAGAGCGCCAGATCTGGAGGCCTCCCTGAGCCACTCTGCCCTCTCCAGACTTCATGCCAGGGGACATTAAACCTGTTTGTTTAAGCCCCAGCCATACTCACTTCTAACAGATACAGGCTGGGACTCCCAGGAAGCGTAAAAGCCATTAGTCTCAGCAGAGAGAGAAAGAGGGTCAGAGAGAATGAGAGACAGATGAAGACAGAGACAGTCAGGATTTTCTCTCCCTGTCTGAGAGGGCTCAAAAGATGATGGATGTGCAGTAGGGACTGGTCCCTGATCCCCCAACTCTGTAGGCAAACTAGTGTGTAAGCATACTCAACTGATGACCATGTGTCTGGGAAGGGGCCCAACACTATCAGAGCTGTGGTGATATGGAAGATGGTCAGGACCCCAGAAGAATGGGGCCTGGTGCAGTGCCTTACCTGGGCTGCCTTGGTGGGTCACGGCTGCCCCCAGCCAGGCCTGTGGGGGTGCTGGCACCTGAGGAGTACAGCTTTGGCCGGTAGCCCTTGCCAGTAACTGCAGGGGTTGGAGAGATCTCGCGCCGTCTGTCTGTGTGGTGGGACCTCCCAGTGGCCTCGCGACCCCCACCACACAGACCCATACTTCCAGGGGGCTTGTGTGGCTTCGTGGGCCGTGGTGTTTTGGCCAGGGACATGCAGCTGGGACTGGAGGTGTAGAGTGTAGTGTCGATGCCACTGTCACTGGAGCCACCCTTGGAGAGGGGGTCTTGCTCGGGCTCCAGGGGGTCCAGAGGGTCAAACCAGCGGTCATCACTGTGGCTGCTGGATGCATTGCTGGACAGAGTATTGCTGCTGGAATGGCTCGAGTACTGAGGCTCGCCCTGGAAGGCAAGGGAGGAGTGTCACACCAGACCCAGGGAAGGCACCCCTCCACCTGTGGGCACACTCTGGACCCAGGCAGCTTCATATCCTGGCTCATCACTTCTCTGCCAAGGTACCTAGGGCAAGTGATTTACATTCTCTCTGCCTCAGTTTCCACATCTGTAAAGGGGGTTGATTAACTAACCCTGCCTCATGGGGTCACTCTGAGGAAGAGATGGTATTATGTCATGAAGAGCTTCCCACATCTCAAGCTGAGTTTGGGTCTTCCCTCCCAAACCATGCTCCGTCCTTTCCTTCTCAGTAATGCAGCTCCTTGCATTCAGTGCTTGCCCAGGAGCCAGACTCCTGTTCTCACCCTCAGCCCAGTTCAAAGCGATAGCAAGCCTCTTGCTAGCACCTTCTAAAAATGCCTAGGACCTGCCGCCACTGCTTCCTGGCGGCCACAGCAGCCTCTTCCCTGGTTCCCCTTCCTCAAATTTGTTACCCATCTATGGCCAGAGAGGAGCAGGGAACATTTGTGCTGGGTCATGTCTCTGCCCTGCTCAAAACTCCTGTGGCTCCATCTTGCTTAGAAGAAAAGCCAGAGTTCTCGCACTGTCTGTGAGGGGCTTGTTCTGGTCTTTAACTTCCCCTCTAGATCACAACTCCAAGCACACAGTCTCGTCACTGCTCTGTGCATGCCAGGGACAGTCCATGCAGCGCCTGTCCTCAAAGGGCTTTGCTGACCACACTGCCCTAAAGCAGCAGGGTTTGTCACTTTCCCCCTAACTTTGCCTGGTTTTTCTTTCATACCAAGGAGTTGTTGGTGTTCTGCTTATTGCCCTCACTGGGATGCCAGCTTCCCGAGGACAGGGCTCATCTGTCCTCTTCATCACTGTGGTGGGTCCAGTGTCCAGCACGCTACAGTGTGTGCAAAGAGACTGCTAAGCGCTCACCTAAACTGGGCACACAGGACTACGTTTCCCAGACTTCCTTATCGGGACGGAATCCTGGTCACTGCAATGCACTGGAAGTGATTCATGCCACTTCCAGGCCCTGCAGAAACCTTCTACGCCATCCTCTTTCCCTCTCACCCTACCAATGTAAGGATGTGGGGACCCAGCAGGGGCTCAGCGGTCCTGAGAAACAGCAAGAGGGATCCTGAGTCCTCACCGAAGTTCTGCACTCCATCATTATAGGAGAGGGACATGAACTTGTGTCTGAGATCTCTGAGATTCAAGGACTGCTGAGGACAGTTCATCTGATGTAACAGTGAAGAAACAGGCTGGAGGACGTGAAGGGAGCCAGGATGTGAGCAGGGTTAACTCAGACTCCAGACCAAGTATTTAGCCCCACTCAGGGCAGGTGGTGACAGTGGAAGATGTGCTTCCAGTAGTGTAGGTGGCATGCAGAAGCTGCACCCAGGGAAAGCTGCCTAGCCCACAGCAGCCAGGCGCCCTGAAGCCTGGCTCCCTGTGCGGGGTGGGGTGAGGTTGGACTCACTTTGGAATGTCTATTGGGGGAGTCTTTGCCTGCTGCATCCTGCCTGGAGGCGTGCTTGCTCCCACTGCTTCCCGCCATGGCTGAGAGTCGGGCCTGGGCAGGCACATGCCACAAAGGTTCTGCAAGACAACAGGAGACACACTAGTGGTTAGGGCTGATGCAGGCCAGGGCCTGACAAACTGGGCTGTATATATGGTTCCCACACTTTTGCCAGTTGTATGTTCACTGATGGCACAACCCCACTGACTTATGCCTGGGGTGTAACAATATTCAACAGTAGGGAAGATTTACTGAGCACTTACTGTGTGTCAGGCACCATTCTAAGAGATTAAATCACTGAAGCCATACAACAACCCTCCATCCTCATCCCTAAACGAGGACAGCACATTTTCATACTTACTGGCCAGACGGATTTTCTTTTTTGTAAATTACTTATCCAGTTCCTTTCCACATTTTTCTATGGGACCAACTGTCTTTTATCTTACTGGTTAGTGGAGGTTTTTTTGCATAGGTAAAGAAGTGATCCTTTGAGGGTGAAATGTGTATTTTTTTTTGTAATGCTGGGGTTCCAACTCAGGGCCTCATGCATGCTAGACAAGCATGCTATTACCGAGCTACACGCCCAGCCAATAACTTTTTTTAAAAAACAAAAACGGGCATGGTGGTGCATACCTGTTATCCCAGCACACGGGAGGCTGAGGATCTCTGGAAGATCCTGAGTTTGAAGCCAACCTGAGTTACACAATGAACCTGTTCTCAAAATCAAAATATAAAACCAATGCTTAAACAAACAAACAAATGAACAAGAACCAAATGGAATTGCCACCATCATCATGACCATCATTCTGGAGATACTGGGTGCTCCACCACCTAAGCCATGCACCCAGCCCTTTTTGCTTTAGTTCTTTTTCGGATAGGGTCTGCATTTTTTGCCCAGGACTGGCCTTGGATTTCAATCCACTTATTATGTCTCCCGAGTAGCTGGGATTACAGGAGTAAGCCATCATGCCTGGATCACAAAAATGGAATCATCATAAACTTCCTCAACTTGTTTTTTTTCCTCTTGTGATGTACCTATACTTGCTTTCTTTATAGTTTCACAGTAAATCTGCACATGACTGGACATGAAGCTACCTCATGTACCTCATGAATGTACATTGATTGTTTACAGGCTTCCTACTGATGGATGTCTGGGTCACCTCCAATTTTACCTCATGATGTTGTAGTGTCTTTTCCTCTACTTACAGCTTTGAGCAACTGTAGGATCAAGTCTGGGTCTGAGCTCTGCAAGTCAGATTTTTTTTTCTTTCTTTCTTTTTTGGGCAGTACTGGGGTTTGAATTCAGAGCCTTGCACATGCTAGGTAGGTGCTCTACCACTTGAGTCTTTCTGCCAGCCCTTTTTGGTTTAGTTATTATTCAGACAGATTCTCACATTTTTACCTGGGCTGGCCCCAGACTGCAATCCTCCTATCTATGCCTCCAGTGCAGCTGGGACCACAGGCTTGTACACCGCTCACCTTGCTTGCTGAAATGGGAGTCTCACTAACTTTTTGCTTAGGCTGGCCTTGAACTGCAATTCTCCTGTTCGCCACCTCCTGAGTAGCTGAGATTACAGATGTGAGCCACCATGCCCAGCTGATGATGCAAGTTTAAAACTGTGATGGCAGCTAGTTTCCACTACCAAGGTCAGTCAATGTGCCTGAATCCAGCCTTAAGAAAACCAACCAACCCCATCAAAAGGCACTTAGCAAATATTGAGCAAAACGGCAAATTCACTAACCAAGCACCTAAACCCAGGTGGCTGAACCCCAAATCCCACACTTCTAAGTGTGGCATTTGAAATGATCACAGTAAAGGTCATTAAGGCATGATTACTAAGGCACTCAAAACAACATAATAACGATTACTACTGAGCACATGTTCTGTGTTGGGCACTACTGTGATGCTCTGCATGCATGATCTTCTGGTTTTGTGTTTTGGAGATAGAGTTTTGCTATATAGCCCAGGACGACATTAACTCCTGCCTCAGCTTCTCCAGTGCTGGGATGACATGTGTGCCCCACCATGTCCCACCAAGTGACAATCTTAGGGCTGTGCCTCACCTGTCTTGTCTCTGCAACGGGACAGTCAAAGTGCCTGCTCTGCTGTGCTCATCAGGAAGGAATGTGGAGTCCATAATACAATGCTGGGCACATGACAACCATATAAAGCTGGTATTGTTGCTGTCATCTGGGCAAAGGCCCATGTCTGTTGTGGCATCTGATCCTTGCCATGCCTCGACACCCTGACTGGACTATCCTTTCTCTGGGTCTTGAATACATTCTAGACTTCCTGATGATTTCTGAACAGATTCTCCCCGGGGTACATGTGTGTGTGTGTGTGTGTGTGTGTGTGTGTGTGTGTGTGTGTGTGTGAGAGAGAGAGAGAGAGAGAGAGAGAGAGAGAAGGTGTTAGTCACCTTATAACAAGGTCCCAAGGAAGCGAGAATAGACTTGAGCTTTGCGGGGGGAAATGGACAGACTGGGGGGAGGGGGGTAGAGACGGAACACAACAGTGAGTTTCTGTGACACCTGTCTGGGGCTCATAATGAATGTTGGAAGAATGTCGTCCCATTTTACACTTTAGTGTAATGAATCAGCCAAATGATACTTTTGTCTTCTTCTGAACTGAATAGAAAAAAAAAACAAACATTCAAATCTGTCTGTCTTGGAGTTGAGATGACAGATTTCCAGGCAAATCTGCTCAATCTCATCAGTCATTAGAAAAATGCAAATTAAGCCAGGCATGGTGGCCCATGCCCATAATTCCACCTACTCAGGAGGCAGAGATGGGAGGATCAAGGTTCTAGGCCAGCCTGGGCAAAAAGTTAGCAAGTTCCATCTCAACAAATAATGCCCTCCAAAAGGTATCATCAAAAATGAAACAAACAAACAGCGACAACAAAAATCAAGCAGGGATTGTTGGGGAACACCTGTAATCCAAGATCTGCAGCAGGAATGGGTAAGGGGATCAAAGTCTGAGGCCAGACCTGGGCAAAAGTGCAAGACCCTATGTGAAAAACAGCTAAAGCAAAAAGGGCTAGGAGTGTGGTTCAAATAGTAGAGTGCTTGCAAGCATAAGGCCTGAGTTCAAAACCCAGTACTGCCAAAAAAGAAAAAACAAAAGGAAACAAAATTCAAATTAAGATAGGTGAGCATGGTGGTACACACCTGTAATCCCAGCACTTAGAAAGCTGAGGCAAGAGGAAGCTATTCTGAGGCCAGTGTGAGCCTAATATCAAGACCCTGTCTCAAAACAACAACAAAAGAGTTCTTTTGTCATTGGTTGGGGGTGGAAAATAGTTTACCATTTGAGGAAATGGTCTGGTAGTTCCTTATAAAGTTACACGTCTGACCCAGCAGTTCTACTCCTAGGAGCATATGTTCATTAAGAGACAGATGCAGGAATGTTCTAGCAGCCCCAAACCGGAATAAGCCAAATGTCCCTCAGCACAAGGCTCACTGAGACGTGGAATACCGAGTACAGAAACTGCACTGACATGGCCACCTGGCTGGCTCAACATGACATGGAGCAGTAGAAGCTAGACCCATGCACAAAATGCATACAGCATGATTCCATAAGCCAGCGTGAGAACTAAGCCAGGCAAAATGGAGGGGGTGTCACCTGCCAAACGCTAAGTGGGAGGGCTGCTGAGGCCAGCCTGGGAGACCTACCTGGCTTCTGCCGCTCCATGGTGCTCTCCTGGCTGGTCAGGCCGCCTGAGGAGGAGTCACCGCTGGACATCCCATCATGGCTGAAGTGCGGATCAAAAGACAGCAGTGGATGTGGGGCAGCTGCATACCTGTAGGAAGGAAGGGGACACAAGCACAGGGTAAAGGACCTGTGTGTCAAAATCACGGACTTGCTCACTACTGGCTGTTAACACTCGAGGCTCTGTGTGGTATAGGGCGACAGGCTGCTGGTGAGGGTAGGTGAGCACGCCTGGAGACTGCTGTAAGTGAGGCTCAGGAAGAACAGGCTTGCATAGGAAGCCTGCCAGGGAGGCGGTGGCAGCATGGAGTGCAGGGTATGGCAGGTTCCTCAAGGAAGGAGGGCATAGAGTCACCTGGGTGGCCGCTCTGCTCTTGCAAACCCTTGGACACTGACCCAGAAACTGGTAGATATGAGCCTTGCTAGGCTCCCTTTCTCTCTGAGGGAGAAGGCAGGGTCAGGGAGCTGGGCAGGGTGGGCTTTGTGCTGTACCACTGCCCCTTGCCCAGACAGACTGCAGTCCTTTCCTAGCCCCAAGCCTCAGTTTCCCTGGTTGTCAAGAGATGATCACAGAAGGGAGCCATATGATACACGGTGACTTGTGACAGATGGCCCACAAACTGAGAACTCTCGTGTTCCTTTCAGGCAAGTGAACTGCAGTTTTTCCACTGAAAATCAAGGCAGTGCCGTCAGCCTCCCAGGACTCTGTGGATGCTAAGAATGCCTCTACACTTAGCAACACCTTCAGCCGGAGAGTTTTAGGAGTTTTTTACCCAGCATAATCTGACTTTTCAAATGGAGAAGTGCCCTGGGACTTCTGGGGGAGGTCTCCTTGCTCCTAAGAGAGATGCCAAGAAAAGATGGACTTTCATTTCCCCTAGATATTGCTGGGTCCACGAATAGCCTGAGGAAAAGGCCAGCACTGAGGCTGGAGGAGACAAGAAGGGTGCTGGGCTTTTGCCTACCCTGCTTCAAAGCTGCTTTTGTTGGGGAGAACACCTTCCCATGATGTGTGAGCCAGCCCAATTTTAATCCTTTTAGCCAAAGCATCCCTCTGACACAGACCCCGGACTCTGGAGGAGTTACTGGGCCTCTTTTACCATGGGCTCCGTCTGGCCCCTTACCTCTGTGTCTTTACCTTGTGAGGATGTAGCAGGCAAGAGGTGAAAAACCCTCAATGCCCAACAGAGGAGTTAGCAACTTCTCCAGGGTCACCTACCAGCCCAAAGACAGGTTAGTGCCTATAAGACACAGCCAACTCAGCTTAACTGCCAGCTCAGCTTCTGCAGAACCCATAGGGCTACTTCCAAGGGGCACTGGACTTTCCAGAAACTCAACTCCACTCTCCTGCCAAGACATTATCTTCTCTTTCTTCCAGCAGCCTATGACCTCTATCTTCTCTTGAAAGGATGGCATAGCAACCACAGAAAGTGGATTCTTACTTCTCTTCCTGTCTGAGGGCCCAGTTTCTGGCTTAGAATGAAGGGGTTCTACAAAGACAACCTGACTCCTGACAACCTTAATCTCACTGGCTGCCCTTACTCCCTAGCCAGCTGCCTGGGACACGTGGCTCCACCACAGCTGGAGAAAGAAGTGTTGACGTGTTCAGTTTTCCTAAAAGGTGGTTATCGAATCCTGAATACCAAAGGGAAATGTCAGAGGAGGCTGGGACCAGCCAGAGGAAAGAGGAAAAGTCTGAGCAGCTTGTGAGAGTGCCCATTCTGTGCCACTCTCCTCGGTAAAAGGATGCCTGAAGTATCTGGGCAGCTATGTGATCGGCCTGGAGTACACTCCCCAGGCTCTCTTGCAGTTCTGTCCTCTGAGATAACAATGAAAGTGCCACAAGTGACTTCTTGCCAGGAAAACTCTCTGGAGGTGAGGCCTGGGTATCTTTGCTTCTTCTCTCCTTAAAGCTTCAGCCTGAGCTCCTCCACTCCCCAATCCCCAACCCCGTGTACCAGGAGGGAACAGGCCAAGGGGGAGCCAGGTTCCTGAACATGGGAGAAAAAGAGCAGCTGTCTGCACTGAATTGCCATGTTCTGTATTATGCAGCAAAACCTCATCCTGAAAGCCCATCTCCAGCTGGGCATGTTTTCCCAAGCTTCCCCTCTCAACTACTCTCCCCAATCAAGACAACCTGTACAGACTCCAACTGACTGACCAATGCTGACCATGCACTGAGATGCTGAGTATGTCCCAGTTGAGGCCATTTCTATCAGTGCCAAATTTTGGTTACACTGACTGAAAGTCAGGACACGCTTCATCTCACCATGCGCACACAGCTGTGAACAAATATCCCAGGAAGAAGAGGCAGTTGAATGCCTGTCTTCCAACTCATCTGACAGTAATTACTCTATCTTTCCTTGGAAGATGAAATCACTTTGGAGGTGAAGGGTTTGGGGCTTTGGTACAGACGGCAGACCCCCACAACTGGCTACAGTCACTATAGCTAGATGGAGGTCTGGGTAGAGGTAACTTATGGTCAGTGGGCTGGGCTACTGAAACACTGACTTGAGCCTCCCACAGGCCACAGAGAAAAGTATCAAGGCAGACATGAGTGTGGGCAAGAGCTTCGCCTGAGTGGAGAGCTTCGCCTTCTCGCTGATATCCTACTACAGGCAATGGATTACTGGGTGGGAGTTGCAGGACACTGGGTAGGAAGGTAGGCAGATGATGCAGTTGCTACTGCCTGCCACCCAGCCATCACTTTTTTTGTCTCTATTGGTGGAGCCCAGGCTCTGCTCTGGAATTTTATAAGATAATCAGGGTTTCAATCCCTAGTACAACCAAAGGTGGTAAAAAAAGATAACCGGGACTGGTGGCGTGGCTCAAGTGCAACCTGAGTTCAAACTGGAGTACCACCAAAAAAAAATGTGATTTTGCCAAGAGCTGGTTTATGACCTAGTTGCTTCTTTTTCTTTGTATAGGGTTTTGCTGTGTAGCCAAGGCTGGTCTAGAATGCTCCATCCTCCTTCCTCCACCTCCTGACTACTGGGATTACAAGCGTGCATGGAGAGTTTCTTCACTCCTAATACCCTTCTCTCACAGGGCTCTGGTCTTACTTGGGGCCACAAGTGGAACAGGCCCCTGAAGACACCCCTGAGGTGATAAATCTCTGAATGCTTCATGCCTTCTTGAATTAGGGTTTCTGTCAGTTGTAGTCAGGTGCCTCCTAACTCAAGTGCCACTTTTTTTTTAATGGATCTGACAGGGAAAAATAGAAGGGAAAAAAGTCAACCAGAGCCTGGTGAGCAAGTGTCTGAGGTCCATCCAGCCCGCAGGCTAACTGAGCTGCATGTTTCTGCCCTCATGCTCTGGGTGGAGCTGGTGATGTGCTTACCCTGTACACAGGTGGCAAACTCCCAGGGACAGAAACAGCATCTGCCAGGCTCTGCCCCCTCCAGCTGCCAATGCAGGCCCTTCACTCAGCAGTAGCAGGAACAACCTGTTTAGAGCACTTCCCACATACCAGGCACAGTTCTGCCTGCTGGAGACCAGCTTCGTCCCTTAACATTCTCAAGGCACATGGAGGTGCAGAGAAGTGATCAGTGATCAGGCCTGGCTCTGAACTCTTAATGACCATGTCACTCAACCGCTCAGTAAACCCAAGATGGGCCCAATTAGTTCTCTTCTCATTTAAAACAAAAAACAAAACAAAACAAAAAAAACCTTTACAGTTCTGGAGATGGAACACAGGGCCTTGTATTGCTAGGAGTACTCCACCACTGAGCTACAACCCAGTCTCCCCTACCCCCACCATAAATTTTTCCTTAAGAAGTGAAAGCCATGCAGTGCAGGAAAGCCAATCTTTCTAATAAATGGTGCCGGTGTAAGTCAGACAGTCACAGGCAAAAACCCAAACTGCTCACTTAGACTAAAGCCTACTTAAAATAGACCAAGGACCTAAATGTCTAACAGTAAAGCTTCTAGAAAAACAAAAACATGGGAGGAAATCTTTAGATCCAGCAGTAGGCAGAGTTTAGACAACACCAGAAACCTGATTCATAAAAGGAAAAAGAATAAAAAGTTTGGTTTAGAGAAATATCCTAGAAAGAAGATGAAAAGAAAAACTGAAGACTGGGAGAGAAAAAAAGATAAAGACTAGGAGAAAATACTCACACATCGCATATCTCATATCTGACAAAAGAATTATATCTGGAATATACAAAGAGCTTTCAAACACTGAAAAGCATTGAATCTAATTAGAAAATGGGCAAAAGACATGCAAAGACATTTCACCAGAGACAATGTATAGTTGGCAAATCAGCACATGAAAAACACTCAACATTGGTAGCCATCAGAGAAATCCAAATTAAAACCACAATGAGATATCACTGCATTCTCATCAGAATAGCTAAAATGAAAAATAGTGACAACACCAAATGGCAGTGAGAGTGTGGAGAAACTGGATCATCTGCACATTGCTGGTGGGAATGTGAAATGGACTTACCATATGGTAAGCCCCTGTACTCTTTGGGCATTTATCCCAGATAAATGAAAACTTATTTTCTTACAGAAATGTGTACACCTGAATGTGTATGGTCATGGCACGGATATTTGTAATAGCTCAAACCCAGTAACGACTCACATGCCTTCCGGTGGGTGAGTGACTCAATTATGGTATGTCCATCCATGGCGCACAAGTCAGCAGTAGTAAGAACTGACTGTGACACGTGCAACCTCAAGGACACTGTGCTGAGTGAAAAGGCTAATCTCAAGAAGATACACATGGTAAGATCCCTTTCACTAAATGCAGTTTAAGAGATGAAGTACAGAGTAATGGTTGTCAGGGGTTATGGATGGGGTGGCTGTAAACTGGAGTCTTCTGGTGATGCTTACATAAGACTGCTTGTGATAAAATTGCATAGAACTGCATGTGTGCAGGTGCACAAACAAGCACACAAAATGAGAGCATGCATTAACCGGTAACTTCTTAGTAAGTGCTATGGCCTGTACCAATGTCAATTTTTCTTTTCTTTTTGTTTTGAATCAGGGTCTTTCTATGTATCCCAGGCTGGCCTAGAACTCTTGATCTTCCCACCTCTGTTTCCCAAGTGCTGAGAACCACATCTGACTCAATTTCTTGCTTAGATTTTGTATTATAGTAATGTAAGATGTTTACAATGGAAGAAGCTAGGTGAAGGGTTCAGGGAACCTCCCAGTACTTTTCTTTGTAACTTCCTGTGAATCTACTAATTATTTCTAAATAAAGGTAGATACCAAGACTTTAGGGGAAACAACACTCCCAAAAGTTCTCAGTGACATCATCCCCAGCAGCTTTATTACTGACCAGTTGCTCCACGCCAACTACCATTTGCAGGCTTGGTCCTGGCTGTGGGCCAGGTGCCCCGCATACCTCAGTCTACATATACCAGATCTTTTCTGTCCCCCTGCACTCTACCACCTTGCATATTCATGTCTGTGGCCTCTGCTCCACCTGCAGTGACCTGCTTCCTCCTCTCTGTGGCAAACTCCTGCCAATCAATCTCTCCAAGCTCCACTGAGATGGACCTCTGGAGCCAGGACACAGTCCCCTTTTCTCTGTTGGAGCACTTGTCAGCGAGACATGGAATGACAGCTCCTCTCTCCACCACAGGCAGCAAGGGTGACAACAGGACACCCTGCAACTGAGTAGCTTACACCTTCCTCCTGGTACCTGGCACACAGAAGTCTATTGGGACCCTATGCTGAATTAAAATGGAAGAGTGGCCAGAAGATGAATGGTGAACACCCCCACCCCCCCAGTTTTACAACAAAGGCTTAGCATCTCACAGTGGTGCAGTGTGGTACCTCTCAGAGCATGGCTCCTAGGCCACCAGCATGGACACAGTGTGCTCTACAAGACCTACCTGGTCAGCACTGGGGTGAGGCCCAGTTGTTGGTACTTGAGCCATTACTCCTCTGAGTAAAGACTGACAACTTGTGGATTGGCTGTCTGAAAGCAGCTGGTTTTACTTAAACCTAACCATTCCATCCTTTCATCAACCATATACAAGCACCTGATGTGTGTCGGCCCCTACGCTATGTGCTGGGAACACAAGGATGGACTGGCAAGCTCCTAGAGCTTGGGGAGAGAACTCTCGCTCTCCTCACATGTGCACACACACTTTTAACTGGGCTAAGAGAATGGCGAGTGCTCAGGGCCATGGTTGGGGAACACAGGGAGCCTTGGGCAGAGAGGCGGTCCTTCCCTTCATACCGGGGGAGGTGTGGTGGGGAATTGGAGCTGCAGCTGGGAGGATGAGAGAGTGTGGGGCAAGGGGTGTGAAGGATTTCTGGGGCAGGCAAAGGGTGTGACCTGGGCTCTGAGATGCAGACAGTCTACTCACTGCGCATATACCTACATGGTTTGAGAAGCTGAGGCTGTGTCCTGAGGGCTCTAGAAGTTAATGAGCCCTCTGATTGCTGAGTGGAGGGTGGCAAGTGAGTTCCTAGAGATGGTCAGGGCGTGGCAGCAGAGAAAGGAGGGGTTGGGTGACAGGGGCTCAGCTGCTGAATAGATGGACCTCAGCAGAGGGAAGAAGGCAGAAGTCATCCAGAATGAGGCCCATGGCTCTGGCCTGAGGACAAAGTATGGAAGGGGCTACCTGACACAGAGAAGAAGGGAGAGAAAGGACTTAGGGCACCAGAACTGCAGGTAGTGAGGAACAAGCTCAGAGGGAGCCAGATCCTGCAGGGCCTCAAATGCCAGGCTGTAGAGTGTGGCTTTACTCTGATTGCACTGGAGAGCCATAGAGGGTTTGGAAAGATCTTGCAGGCTGCCAGGTTGAGGATGGCTCCAGGGGTTAAGACCAAAGTCTGCAAGATCATGAGAACTAGATTTGATGGCTGGGCTTTGGGGACGGGGCTAGAGTTAGATGGGTAGCAATACTGGTCTTGCTCAAATAGTGATACAGGTGGGCAGAAGATGGCAACCAAAATTCTGCTGTGAGGAAAGCCATTAGTGACTCCCATCCAGCCCACAGTATCATAAATTTTAATGTCACACACTGCCGACCCCCATAGGAGTCCTCTGAGGATGTTGAGAGATCCAGAAACATCAAATGGCAAATACATTTCCTGGGAAGAAGGATTCATGGTGTTCATCAGATTCCGTAACTTGAAAAGCAAGAGACTCTGACCTTTCTGGGGATGGCTTGTATCTGGTGTAGGTGGCTGAGCCTGGGGTGGAGAAGCTCCCAGAAGGCTGTCGGTAGGGAGGGACTCTGTCGGCCCCTGCTGGTGATGCTGTGAAAGGGGTTTCTGGGAAGCTAACAGGCCTGGAAAGAGACAGGAGAGGAGGAAGGGTGAGGGGAAGGGCTCCATTAGCTTCAAGACAGCAACTTTCTCTCAGGCCCAGCCTCATCCCACCTGCTACCTACTCCTTGGGGGAGAGACAGTAACTGAGTGAAGGGCAGCAGGAAGCCATGTACCCTGGTCCCTCTTCCTAGGTCAACCACTGATTCTGACGGGGCTGTGAGGCTGGTTCTCACCCCTGCTCTAGGACAAGACAGCCCTCTGCCAGGTGGGAGTCCTTCATTTTGGGGAAACGTTTTTTTTTTTTTTTTGCAGGGCTGGGGATGGAACCTAGGGCCCATGCTTGCCAGGCAAGCACTCTACCACTGAACCACCTCCCACCCCAGCCCGTAAGTCAAGAACCATCATCTCAAACAAATTCTCCAAAGCAACCACTCAGCCCAAGGACTGGGCAGTGTGGCAGCAATGCCGCCCGGGAGCGTCCCCTCTTCACTGTCCTACACTTGGTGCTTATCCACTCTTTACCTTTTAAAACAAAGAAAGTTCTAACTTGTACCTGGCATGCTGGGTTTCCAAGCTGACACCCAGGCCCTTGCACAAGGGGCCCCAGGTGAAAGTTTAAGGAGAAAAGAGAGATAAGGAAGGAGGATGCACAATTGAGGGGAGGAATAGAAGGAAACACGGGGGAGGAAAGAAGGCCTTGGAAGGATGGGTGTGGGAGGCAGGAGATGGGGAAGCGGAGATCCACTGGGGGTCCTTACCTCTTGCTGTGCAGTGGCTGGGACTCCCGGAAGGGGACCATGGGGGTCTGCTTCGGGGGCCGGCTCAGGGACTGGGCATGGCCAGGGTTTGCTGGGGTGTTCCACTTGGAAGCTGGCAGGGAGTTGTGGGACGCAGGCCCACTCCACTGCCAGGGTGCGTTGCTGCGGTAGGGGGGCCGGCCCCCGGGAGTGGTGCTTTCTGGCTCGGTTTTGGGCTCCGAGGTATTCATGTCATAGGTCTCTGGCCACCCCCTGGGAAGAAGAACTTTGTCACTCAGAAGGCCCTGACCTACCAGCAAGTGGGCCTGCTTCCAGGGCGGGGCCTGGCTGCCTTGTCTACACTGGGCTGTTTTCCTGGCTAAATCCGAACCACAATGACCTATTTTCAAGGCTGAGTGGTAGCCTTTAAGTTAGGGTCTGAAACTTAGCAGCTCAGAGTCCTGGGACGGGGCCCACCACAGGGGCTGTGATGGCTAGGACTGTCTGCCTCATCCCTCTTCTTTCCTTCCCCTCTCTCAGGTCCCCAGCTCCTCCCTTCTCTCCAGTCCAGGCCTGCAGCAGGACAGTGCCCTGTAAGCATCAGCCTGGCCCCCCTCAGCAGTCCACAGGGCTGGAAAGGCAGATGCCCTCAGAATCAAAGGACAGTCTCTGCCTTGTTCTCAAGAATCTCAAAGGCTGCTGAAGAGAAGCAGGTGACCTACTTTGCTGGGTGGTTATAAAAAAAAAAAGAAAGCTACAAAATCCAGAGCCTTGAAATAGATGCAGAGCTGCCTGTGACTACCTCAGACCAGGCTGGCATATGTGCCACAGGGATCCTGGCTCAGGTGATGAGACCAAAGGCTAGGATGGCCCCTCTACCAAGGCAGTGAGGGGACTTGGGCCCCAAGGATGGCCATTCAGCAAACCCACCTCCTGGCAGGCATCAGAGCCAAGCTTTGAGGCGTGCGGGCCTGGAGGCTCTCAGGCCCGACCAGGTGAACGTCTGGGCCACTTGGCAAAGGTTCTGGTAGACCTGGTGGCTTAAAGGCTGTTGGGTCTAGGGCATGGCTGCCAGGTGACTTGAGGATATGCTCTGGCACCCAGTCTGGACACGCCTGCCCTCAGCAGTATTATGGTGGAGCTGGCATTCGGCAGTTCCTTGCGGCTGTATCTAGGGATGGGAAGGTGTCCAGGCCTCACTGGGCACCAGGTGGGAAAAAGTAATGATAGGACTGTCTGAGAGAGCCCATGGGCCAGGCCAAGCCAGGCCAGCAGAGATGGAGGAAGGAACAATCATCCCTGAGGCAGTACATACCTGCTGTTCCTATCTGCCTGGCTCTACACCCCCTTCCCTTGATAACTGCTGGGTGTGGGGTGGGCCCCACTTCCTGGCTCTAGGTGTAAGCATGAGACTCAGGTTTGGTCAATGAGAAACTGCATCCCTCTGGACACAATGACCAGCACAGTACTGTCGTGTGTCCTAGGCAGGGCCAGCAAGAGCACTGAGACCAACGGGGGTGGGGGTGGGGCTGTCTCTGGAAGTGCTAGGGGAGAAAGGTCTACTTCTGTTGGGACTGAGCTGGGAGACCTAGTCCAGAGGTGAGGCCCCAACAGTGTGCCTGAGAATGATGACATGAAAGGGAGATGGTGACAGGAGACTCCTGAGGAGGGGGTCATGTCTAGTCCCACCCTGTCTCCTAGTCTGGTCAGGCACAGAAGCCAGCTAAGACTCCCTTTTGCTTTGCTATGCTTGAGTTGGTTCTGTTGCTGTACCCAGAGTCCTGATTATCATGTTAAAAAAAACTTTAATGCTGATATAGTACAGCATTACTTTGGTCTTTCCTAGCTGATCACCACATTTTAGAGTTAAATAAATTAAGGCACAAAAAAGTAGTTCAGTGACCTAGCCAAGGCTGGAGTACATTGCCTCTAAAGCCCACAATTAATTAATCCCTCCTCCCTCCCTCCCTCCCTTCCTTTCCTTCCTTTTTTTTTTTTTTTTTTTTTTGCAGTACTGGGGTTTGACTCAGTGCCTCCATCTTGAGCCACTCCACCAGTCCTTTTTTGTGATGGATTGATTTTTTTTGAGATAGGGTCTCTCGAACTATTTTCCTGGGCTGGCTTTGAACCACGATCCTCCTGATCTCTGTCTCCTAGGATTTAGGCATGAGCCATCAGTGCCTGGCTAAAGGCCCACAATTTCTTTGTTTCTTTCTTTTTTAGGGGGGTACTGGGGCTTGAACTCAGGGCCTTAACTTTCAGCCACTCCACCAGCCCTGTTTTTGTGAAGGGTTTTTTCAAAATAGGGTCTTGCAGACTATTTGCCTGGGCTGGCTTCAAACCATGATCCTCCTGATCTCTGCCTCCTGAGTAGCTAGGATTACAGGCGTGAGCCACCGGCACGGTAAGCCCACAATTTCTATCACCATGCCCCCTGACCCACTGTATAGTGGTTTGGGGGCCAGTGGGTAGATTTCTTGGGTCTCTTACTTCTTTACCAGTCACTGACAGCTTCTCCTGGGACCAGGAGCTCCTAGTATGGCCTCAAGGAGGTCATGACTCATACATGACTCACTTCACTTTGGAGGGAGCAGCTGAGAGTGGGGGAGTGGTAGGGCTCCTGGCCGTGGGCAGTTCAGATTCCAGCACTGTCACTGTGTGGCTTTGGGGAGGCCTTTCCTTCCAGAGCCTTGGTTTCCTCATCTGTGAGTGGGGGTGGCCATGGGCATCCTATAAGCATTAGCAGGTAGGCTGGCACATGCCAAGTGCTTCATCAACAGGAGCTGGCTCTGGTACTTTCTCCAGCTCCCTCTGTGCACCATCAACTTGCTCTTCCCCAAACTCAATAGCTGAAGTCTCCCTTCCCTTTCTCCAAAGCCAGCCACACCTGCCTTAAGACTATGGGAAAACTCCTCAGCAGCTTTCCCCAGGTATCTGAAAATCTAGCCTCTAGATCAGCCTGAGTGCCCTGGAAAGAATGCAGATTCCCAGGTCCACCTCTGACCTCCTGGGTCAGAATCTCCCTGGGGGTGGGGCCATGGGCTGCTGTGATGGTGAAACCTTGGAGAAGCCCCACTTCCCTGATTTAGTTTTTGTTGTTGCTGTTCATGCATGCTAGGATAGTGCTCTATCACTTCAACCATGCCCCCAGTCCTTTTATTTGTATTTTCTTTTTGAGATTGGAGTCTCCCTAACTTTTGGCCTAGACTAGCCTCAAACTTGAGATTCTTCTGCCTCTGTCTCCTGAGCAGCAGGGAGGGATTACAGATGGGAACCATTACGCCAGGCTGGAATTATTTTTAAAGGTTAGCATGTTAAAAAAAGAGCACCCCTGTCCCATAGTTTCATTCATCAGAAACAACCACTGCTTAATTTCTTTCGTATTCTTTAGGAAATCAAATATTATTTAAAATAGTAATAAAAAGAATAGGGGGCTGGATGCCCTGCTCAAGCAGTAGATCACCTGCCTGGCAAGCTCAAAGCCTTGAGCTCAGTACCACTGAGAGAGAGAGAGAGAGAGAGAGAGAGAGAGAGAGAGAGAGAATCTTGCTGTTTCTTTCTTTTACCAATGTATCTTAATGTATTTTTAACAATGTACCTTACTTACCATGTCTTCACAGCTCAAAGAGATTCACTTTTCTTTTTTGTGCTGTTAGCCTCAAACCTAGGGCCTTGTGCACACTAGGCACATGCTCTTACCACACATCACAGCCCTATGGCAAATCTTATCAGAGGCTCAGGGGTTTCTGCTGGCCACGTGGCTCAGCCCAGCCTCAGGGCTCACTCCAGACTGCAGCCTTGAGCCTGGTGGGGGTGGTGTAGAAATCCCTTTGTATTCTCAGCATGCCACACAACAGAGCCTGGCTGGTGGCACTGAATGCACCTCTGCCATCCCATTAGCTTACTGTGACATCTGAGCCAGGAGCCAGGTGGCAGAGACTGGAGATCCCCAAAGCTAAGGTTATCAGCTCTGCAAATGAGGTCAGCTGGATGCCTCTGCATTTGAACAACAAAAATCACCCTGGCACCACCCCAGCTGCTTGTGACCAGGAGAACCTATTCCCCTGCTGGCAGCCTTATGTGGCCTTATAGAGGCGGAGGGATGACTACAAGAAGATAGCAGGGCAGGAAGCAGAACTGGGCTGTCTGGCTGCATGCTCCCTGGCCTGCGTCCCCAAAGTAGAGAGCACAGACTTCTCCTGCTTCACTTGGCCCTACCTGGGTGTCCTATGTGGCTTCCTGTGCTCCCTCAGCTGGGGAAGTTGGCTGTAGGCAAGGAAGCTGGCTGTGTGCACACACCCAAGTGTGCAGAGTAAGGGGGCAGGGGCATGTCCTTGCCTGAGGAACACCACCCCAGGGAACCCACCTATGGCTCGCTGGGCTGGACTTGTCCCTGTAGAGGTATGAGTGGGTGTGGCTGGGACATGGCTCTGCAGAAGTGGAGGGAGAAGGCAGTATAGGAAGAGGGCTGGGGCAGGGGAGCTTGGAATCCTGAGATTGAGAGATCAAGGGTGTGAGTAGAGGTAGCCACGCCCTTGGTGGGTTTCTGGGTCTAGGACTGACTGGAACTGTCTCCCACCAAGTCAGAGCCAGGAACTTGGGAGGGTGGGAATGGAGCTATCTCATTAGCACACTCACAGCTCTCAGTGGCTTTTAGAGGCCAGAGTGCAATGGAGGCAGGAAAATCCGGATGTGAGTTTTGCTTTGCCACTTTTTAGCTGTGCAACTCTGCAAAAGTGACCTGTGTACTCTGGCCTCGGTTTTCTCTCAAGTAGGACTCACACCAGCCCTAGTGGGAGTCCAGTGAGGTTATGCGTGCATATGGCACTCAGGGTCACCTCTTCTCATGCCCTCCTTTTGGTTCAGCTGGCTCCAGCCACACGGGCCTTCCTTCTGTCGGTCAACAGTAAAGGCCTTGGCTCTCATGAAACTTCAGACATTCTCTCTTTTTTTTTTTTTTTTAAATTTTTTTTTTTCTTTCTATTTTTTCTTTTCTTTTTTTTTTTGGGTGGGGGAGGTACTAGGACTTGAACTCAGGGCCTCACACTTACTAGGCTTGCTAGACAGGCACTCTACCACTTGAGCCACTCCACCAATCCTTTTTTATTTTATTTAATTTTTTTTCTTTTCTTTTATTATTTTTTTTCTTTTATTATTCAGACATTCTCTGCTCTTTATCGCCTTCAGGCCAAGGAGCTTCAGTTGTCTCCAGGGCACTCCTAAGGATTGAGTGCTCTAGACACTAGGACTAGGTGCTTTACAACCTTCTTCAAGGTCACAGCCATCTCTGTGGAAAGGACCTATTATATTCCTTTTTTTTGGTGGCGGGGAGGTGGTAGTGGGGTTTGAACTCAGGGCTTTGCACTTGCTGGGGAGGGGCAGGTACAGTACCGCCTGAGCCATGCCTCAATTTCCCCCTTTCATGAGCACAGAAACTAAGGCACTAGGTGGTGAAGCCACTTGCCTAGTGTCACAGTCAGAAAGAGGGAAAGGGCTGAGGGTTTAGCTCAGTAGGAACAGCATGTGACAGGCCCTGGGCTCCAACCCCAGCACCACACAAAATGGTGGGCAAGGGCAAGAGCTGAGATTCAAACCAAACACCCTCACTATAGGGCCTGCCTTTCCCTTTTGCTCTGTGAAGTAATCTTATTTGTTTGTTTATTGCTTATGTCCCTTGAATCACTCACTAGCTCCATGAGAACCAAGGTTTTGACTGTTCTCTATGTCACTGTGTTCCCAAAAAGATGATCCTGATTAATAAAACAAGCACTTTAAAAAATCTATATCTATGACACAATAGGGAAAATTAAAGTTGGATAGTTGATACTAAGGAATTACTGTTTAACTTGTTAAGTGTTACTGTGTAGAAATACATTCCAAGGCCTGAGACTGTTTCAGATAATCTAAGGGGCAGAAGAAGAGGGAGTAAAGATAATAAAAACAAAACCCAGGTTTGCTGGGTGTTGGTGGCTTACGTCTGTAATCCTAGCCACTGGGAAGGCAGGATCACGTTTCAAGCTAGTCCAGGCAAATAGTTTGTAAGACCCTATCTTGAAGACACTCAACATACATACACACACACACACACACACACACACACACACACACACACAAAAACAACAAAGGGGCAGGCTGAGTGGCTCAAGTGATAGAGCGCTTGCCTTAGCAAGCATGAGGTCCCTAGTTCAAACCCCAGGACCACTAAAAAACAAAACAAAACAAGAACAAAAAACTGAAAGCTTGGTACAGTCATCTCACAGAATCCACGGGGCACTGGTTCTAGGACGCTTCATGGATTCTAGAATCTGCAGATGCTCAAGTCCCTTATGTGAAATGGTACATTATTTTGTATCTCTGAAATTATAGCTAGATGACTTACAATACCCAACACAAGGTAAACACTGTGAAAATGGCTGTTTTACTGTGTTGTTTAGAGAATAATGATAAAATGACACGTGCAGTACGGAAGCACCAACCCCAACTTCGATCTGCAGGTAGCTGAATCCACCAACATGGAGCTCATGGAGACACAGAGAGCCACCTGTATACTTCTATTATGTTTACGATGTTCCTGCCCTGGTTTGTTCCCACCTGGAGCCTGCTGGCCCAGAAAACCATGTGGCTGCCTCTGCTATAGAGCCTCTTGCAGTCTCCTCCGTCCTCCTGTTACACTGTAGCCCTCCACTTGCACTTTTTTTGTTGTTTTGTTTTTTTTTTTGAGACTGCTTCTTACTATGTAGCCCAGGCTGGCTGATCCTCCTGTCTCTGCCTCCCTAGTGTTGGGATTATAGCAGGCACCACCACGCCAGCTGTGTATCTACTTTATTGTTTGTCTTTTCCTGTAGGGCACTAACTCCAAAGGAGTGGGCTTTGTCTACTGGGAATCTACTGTATCCCCAGCACTGTGAATGAAGCTTGCACACAGCAGGGGCTCATCAGATGTGTACAGCACAAAGGAATGGAAAGGAAAGGAAAGGATTACTTTTCACTCTCTGTGGTTCCAGAAAAGGCAAATAAGGAGGTACCTACCGCAAGGGGGCGCTGTGGAGGTGAGTGTGAAAATGCATACAAGAGCTTAAAGCAGTAACCTGCTCTCAGTGGGCTTCCACTCCCATCCCACCATCACTACCGCTGCTGAGTCAGGGCTCATTTAGCCCATCTACTGAGGCAATGCATTCCTGAACAGGGGCCTCTGGCCAGCCCTCTGGAATTGTTCACCTCCACCCCATCCCACCACTCAGGGCGATGCCCTTACCTTCGGGGTGTGCCATCGTCGAAAGGTGGAATGATGACCACCTTCACAGTGACAGAGGTGCGCAGCAGGTCAATCATCTGATCATGGGTCAGAGTGACCACGGCCACCTTGCAGATCTCCACCAGCCGGCTGCCTTGCCGGAGGCCAGCCTGCCAGGCAAACCCATAGTCCTCCACCTCAGCCACCGTCCCATCGTACTTCACGTGGAAGCCCAGCTGCCCAAGTCCATTCCGCCGGAGGGTCATGTCCACTGTCTCCCAGCCGTTGGTCATCACCTGTGGGCAACAGGCAGAAGGGAGTCTCAGCGATTTGGGTTACTGCCCCTGCAAGATCCCTAGTCCCATTCCCCCTTTGAGATAAACACTCCCACCTGCCCTCCCGGGTTCCAGAGAGTTCCAGCTGGGTTCCTGGCTCCTGGAGAGGAAGTATGCATATGCCACTCTGTAGTTTTTATCACAGAGACCACAGCAGTCATGCACCGTGCTCTCCAAATGTCCCTATCTCCCTTGTTCCTCATTGGACAGGCCTGCACCTCTAGGCCCACTGTGCTCAGGTGGGTGAGCTGTGAGAACAGACATGTCCTCTGGGCCGGGGTGTTCAGTTGTCAGTGCGAGACCCTGCACTGGGGTCAGGCCTTTGCCACAGAGTATCCTAGAGAGTAGCGGCTGTTTGGACAACTGGGGTCCCGGCATTAAAACAGTGTGGAGCACAGCCCCCGAATGAGCCGAGGGTAGATGTGAGCAAGAAATATACCTTTGTTTTTTTAAGCCACTCATGTATCCTGACTGACACAGGGACTTTACCGAAGTAAGTGGGAGAAGCAATGGGCTGAGAGACTCGTACCTCTTCTAGCTTAGCGACAATATTCTTCCACTTTGTGACATCATTCTTGGGGACACAAACCCTTCCCCATGTCCTCCTTAAACCTTCCTCCTACGTGGAACTGACCAGGCCCCACAGGCCTCCCCTCCAGTTCCTCCCTGCTTCACTCATGTGATGGGAGACCCCGTGGTGACTTGTGGATGAGAGACGCTACTGCTGCTGCATGGAGCCCCAGGCCCTCAGGAGGCCGTGTGTCTCTTCTTGGGATAGAAAAAGACGAATTTCACAAGCCAGGGCTGCTCAGCAAGTTACATCAAGATCTGCCTGCCCTCTGTTAAAACTACACTATTGAAAGAGAACAGGTGATGGTTCACATTTCCCATGAGAAGTCATTCCCTAATTAGAAGTCATGCTATTTAATGTACCTATTAGCACACTGATTCATGGATTTATGCACGCATCCACAGACACAAATATTACTTGCACTCCAAAGCCATCACATTCTCAAGTGTAGACAGCAAGAAGAGTTTGGGTGATAAAGGATTTAACTGAAAAAGTTACCAAATCTGTTCCATTCCTGATTTGGACAGTGAGAAACTGGGAAGCAGTAAAAGATCAACTAAAATTGCACTTTGTAAAACAGTGCCTATCTTTACTCACTGTGGTGCACTTTAATACTATTTTTTTTTTTGAGACAGAGTCTTATTAAGTAGCCCAGGCTGGCCTCCAACTTGTGATACTCCTGCTTTCACTTTCCGAGTGCCAGGACTACAGGTGTGTGCCACCATGCCCAGCTCTGGTACTTTTGTTTATTATGGAGATGGGGATGAAACCCAGGGCATGGTGGTAAGTGCTCTACCACTGAGCTACACTCTCAGTCTATACTTAGATCCATTTCCTTCCTATCACACTGCTACAGAGGAACCCTCAGGAATGGGATTAGTGCCTTCACCAAAGGGGCCCAAGGAGCTTATTCCTCTCTTCCTATGTGAGATGCAACAAGAAGGTGCCATCTGTAAACCAGAAAGTGGCCCTCACTAGAACCCAAGGCTGCTACACTCGATCTTGGACTTTCCAGTCTCTGGAACTGTAAGAAATAAATTTTTGTTGTCTATATACCCAGTCTGAGATATTCTGTTATAGCAGACCAAATGGACTAAGACATGGATCCTTCAAAGTTTTCGATTAGGCTCAATAATTGATTTCATGGCTGGCAACGTGTTTACTTTGTAATAAGATAGTATTGTTCATCTTTAAAATGTGGACTATGACTAAATTGCCTTTTTTTTGTTGTTGGTGGTGGTACTGGGGTTTGAACTCAGATCTTCACTAGGCAGGCACTATATCACTTGATTCACTCCACTACCCTCATAATTGTTATTTTTTAAGAGTCTATCTTAGCATGGTAGTACATACTTATCATCCCAGCATTTGGGGACTGAAGCAGGAGGATGTTGAGTTCGAGGCCAGGCTGGGTTACATCGTGAGACCCTGTCTCAAGTGCAGCCCCCCAGCCTGCAAAAAAGTAAAATTGGTTTGAAAGGAAAATTGTGACCGGATTTATCCTAGCTCATTACTACTGCTTAAGGAGCCAAAATGATTCCTTCCTTTAAAGCAGTCACCCACTTGTATTTTTTAAATTAAAAATGAGGCTCCTAGTTGGGTGCTGGTGGCTCACACCTGTAATCCTAACTACTTAGGAGGCAGAGATCAGGAGGATCGCAGTTTGAAGCCAGCCTGGGGAAACAGTTCATGAGACCCTATCTCAAAAATACCCAACACAAAAAAAAAGGGCTTGGGATTGACTCAAGTGGTAGAGTCCCTGTCTAGCAAGAATGAGGCCTGAGTTCAAACCCCAGTGCCACACACACACATAAAAAAGGCCCCTTTTCTTCATCAGGCTAATTCTTACTCATTCTCATCTGGCGTAAAAGCAATCTCCTCAGGACAGCCCTCCCCATAAGCTTGGGTGCTTGTCAGTGAGATATGAGCCGCGGGCATCAGGGCCAAATGGCACATTTGTGCCCCATCTAAAGAGGGCGACCATCGTCCCACTACCCTGGCGAATGTGAGCCTAGGCCAGCCAGGCTCCCCACTGTTCAAGAGCGGCCGAATTCCTGTGAACCCTCTGCACTTTAGGCACTGGCAACCAGGCATGCCTGAGGCCTCGTCACCTAACTCAGGTCTTTGTGATGGGTTCTCCTGACACTCAACTCTCTTCCACTCATTTGTTTGTTTGTTTGTTTATGTGTGGTGCTGGAGATGGAACCAGCCTTGTTCATGTTAAGCATGCTTTCTGCCACTGAGCTACACCCTCAACTGCTCAACACCCTCCCCTTTTAACCTTTTGGCACTTGTAAGTGCTTGTTTCAATATCTGCCTGAGATGGGAGCCTCACAAAGGCAGGCCTGGGCCCATTGTTGTGACCACTGTGTCCCAGCACTGCTCAGCTCAGCACCAGCACATAATAAAACCCTTCAATTAACAAATGAAAGGACATGGTTAGTTTGTGATGTCTGGGGTGGAAGGGTCAGCCTGACAGGTCCAAGTTCCAGATCTGCCAGGGGAGGGTGTAGACATCCCACCATGGAGGATGTGGAGTTGAAGACGGGTCTGCCCTTCACAGGGGATAGCTTATGTTATTGCTTCCTAGCCTACTGAGGAAATGGCTCTGAAAGGACTGACTGTGCCAACAGTAGGTACGGAGTGGGAGAGTGGGATTGACAGGATGTGGGTAAACCATGAAACCTGGCACAGGGCCTGGCACTGTCCCCACTCAAGGAACGCGAGTTGCAATCAGGATGTGGGAGGTGGAACAGCCTAGTGCAAGAGAACCCAGGCTCTTCATCCACTCTGGTCCCTGAGCAAGTTGCTCTACCTCTCTGGATCTCAGTTTCTTCATCTGTGAGGGCAGATGGTGATGAAAGGTGAAGCCACATGAAGGGCTGAACAGGTCACTCCCAGTTATTATTACTAGGATGGCAGGTGTTCATGCAGGCATGCCAGATGGACTAAGCATCTACTGTGTGCCAGATACTGGCCTGGGTGTTGAGGGCACAGCAGTGAACAAATAGTACAGAGGTACATGTCAGACGGTGGCAAAACAGGTGACAATATGGTGTGGGCTCTTTGGGGAAGAGCTTTGCAATCAGCTAACAAGACAGCAGTGACATCTAACAGCCTACAGGAAGGATATACAAGCGCCATGGGGCACTGAAGACAGTGTTGCAGTGAGAGGGCACAGGCAATGCAAAGGCCCTGAGGCTGGGCACTTGCCCAGCACGTGAGGAGTAGCAGATGTCTGTGTGGCTGGGCAGATAGTGGGGAAAAGTGGGCAGAGGAGTCAATAGGGAGCTGAGCCATGAGCCTCTTGGGCCAGCACAGGACTTTACCTTTCAGAATGAGCTGATGGGGCACAGTAGTGAGGGGACCAGATCCTTCTGACACCTACGTGGAGAACAGACCACAGCAATGACAGAGCAGCAGGAGAGGGAGAAGCAGCTGGGGCCGTCTGGGAAGGCAGGGTGTGAGTACCAGAAGGAAAGAAATCCAGGCTTACATCAAGGCTTCTGACCTCACCAAGTGTTGGATGGACTTGGCCTCCACTGAGACAGGAGGCCTGAGAGGGTGGAGGAGCACCAGTTCACTCTTGGGTTACTTGGGCAGCCCAGTGGAGGGCCAAGGAAGCAGCTGAAGATGAGCCTTGAGTTTAGGCATAGGTCAGTTTTAAGAGTGAGAAAAACTTGGGTTGAGACCCCAGTTCTGCCACATACTGTCTGTGTGAGATCCTGTGATTACTGGTACCTGTCTTTGACTCAGTTTCCTCGTCTGTCAAGTGGGGATGAGAATAGGATTTACATTTGGGGTGGGGAGGAGGTTATGCATGAAGAATGCCTAGCAGTGTAAACATTTAATAAACTCATCAACTAATCAACTACTACCCAGTGTTTGTTGAACACATGCTATGTGCAAGCCCTATTGTAAGCTATGAGCTCAGCAAGCAAAGCAAACAGATGGAGGAACTGTAATGTCAGGGAAGCTAAAAGCAGGGTTTCACCAATTCCACTTGAACTCTTTTATTTATTATTAGTTTTTGGTGGTACTGGGGTTTGAATGCAGGGCCTTGCACTTGCTAGGCAAGCGATCTATCACTTGAGCCACGCTGTCAGCTTTTTGCTTTAGTTATTTTCCAGATAGGGTCTTGCATTTTTGCCCAGGGCAACTTTAGACCTCAATCCTCCTATCTATACCTTCCATGTAACTTGGATGCTTGGTGTGTCACTATGCCCATTTTTTTGTTGAGATGGAGTCTTGCTAACTTTTTTTGCCCAGGTTGGCCTCAAACTTCCACTCTCCTGAGTAGCTGGGATCACAGGTATTCACCGCTATGCTTAGCCCCCACTGGAACTCAACGAGAGTGCCAAGACCTACAAGGACAAGGAAGGACAGTACCAGTCAAGCTTGTCTGGGTGACATAACTTGTCCAATCCTTAAAACTTATACATGACATAGGATGATTCTTATTCCCATTTTTCAGTTGGGGAAACTAAGTCAGACAGAGATTAGAGTATCATGGCTAGAGGTTGCAGCACAGGTGGAAAGTAGCAATGTTGGGCTTGGAGCCAGGTCTTTAGATGCTAGAATTTGTGCTCTTAAGTACTGTGGAATACCATCTTTTCTCTTTAGTATTCTTGGTGTGCTGCTCTGCTAAACCCCATGCAGAGGGAGCTACTGTGTGTGGTCCTGGGGATCAAGTGTACAACCTTGCCCATGCCAGGCAAGGTTCTACCAGTGAGGAGCTATATACATCCCCAGCCCAATGATTAGGTTTTTTTGTTTGTTTGTTTCTTTGTTTGTTTGTGGCACTGGGGTTTGAACTCAGGGCCTCATGCTTGCTAGGTAGGCACTTTACCACTTGAGCCACTCTGCCAGCCCTTTTCTTGTGATAGGATTTTTGGGATAGGGTCTTGTGAACTATTTGTCCAGGCTGGGTCAAACTGAGATCCTCCTGTTCTCTACCGCCTGAATAGCTAGGATGACAGGTGTGAGCCACTAGTGCCTGGCTAGACTGTGAGTCTTTTTAACAGAGAAAGTTAAGCCACTCACATTTACTGCGGTTACTAGCATGGAATGTATTTCTGCCATACAATTTTATGTTCATTTATTTCTCTCATCGTATTTTCTTATACTTTTTTCTGCTTCCTGTCTCTCCTCTATCCTTTAGTGGTTTACAACCTTTTTATTCAATTAGAATTCTCTTGAGAAAAGTACTTTTTTTGTTGTTTGTTTTCTGTGGTGCTGGGGATGAACTCAGGGCCTCACGCATAGGTTAAGTGCTCTGCCATTAAGTACAGTCCCCAATTACATTTTTAACATAAGCTTGTATTTCCTATCAACTTTTAGGGTTAATATGCATGTCTTTTGCCCTTCCACGGTGAAGACATGGAAAGCCACAGGTCCCTGGCCCACTTGGCTGGCGTGACTCACTCGCCCCACGACATGGGAGGACTCTGACTCTCTTGCCCCGGCCTGACTGACTGGGTGAAGGAAGGCATTTCAGAGCTTCCTGTGGCTTCTGCCAATCACACGCACCAGCGTACCACTGCGGAACCCTCTCTCTTACCTTCAGCCTCTGGACAATTTCCCTTATGTGCTCTGCAGAGCCCTCTGCAGCCTGGAGGAAGACGTGGTCCCCTTGGCCGTAGAAGATCTTCAGCGTTGAGGCATCTGGGGTCCAGCCAATGACATCCCCGCAGGCGCAGTTGAACACCACCTCCTTGGTGCGCAGGTCCAGGAGCACCACAAATTCATTGGAGATTCCCAAAATGCACTCGATTTCTACCCCCCGGGCATAGTCCTGAGCTGCCACCCGCCAGGCGATGGCCCCAGCACTGTGCTGCTCCGCGCCCACCCGAGCCTTTGTCTTCTCCTTCTTCTTGGAGGTCAGGGAGATGAGGTTGAACTTGCCCGAAGAGTCGATGGGGGTGTTGGAGACACAGTTTTCTGCCAGGTCCTTGAGGTACTCCTGGCGGGTCCTGGTGGCCATGGTATGGAACTTGTCAGATTTGTGTGCAGCATTCTCAGCGTTGATCACCTTGGCCAGCAAGAAGTCTCTGAAAACGTCAGATTTGCGGAATGTGGTTCCACTGGGGATGGGGGGGCCGAAAGGAGGAGCATCTTTGGATCGGGTCACAGCCATGCTGAGGAGAGAGAAATTGCTTAGAGGCAGAAAGAAAAGCACTAAGACTCTCTTTAGAAAGAAAATATAATATCAAAAGTAGGATTTTCATTTTTTTTTTTTTTTTGGGTGCTGGGGGTGGAACCCGGACCTTGTGCATGGTAAGTGCATGCTCTACAGTTGGGCCTTCCCACTCCCTCTTCAGGTTGATGGAAATGCCATTATGTTAGAAGTCAGACAATAACTAAGGAAATTATCTAAAAACTTAATTCTCCCCAACTCCTGAACCCCATCACCACTGTGCAAACTATGGAGCCAGGGAAGAAATCGTGGACACAGTTGGGTAGTGAGCCCCATTCTCTTCTCATTCCCACTGTGGGCAGAGGCCTCCAAAGTGACCCACATAGTGGGGAGGAGCCTGGGATAGCCTCCTGCCTGAATTGCCCAGGAGCAGCCAGCCAGCTCTGTGCACAGTCCAATGGTACTTCTTTGCTCCCTTTTCCTCCCTGTAGGGGCCACAGCACAGCAGTTAGCAGGGCAGGAGGAGGAGAAGGGCAAGGTGTAGAAACAGAAGAGGTAAATAGCCCTGAGTTGGGAGTGGGGGCAGGCATGCCGATGAGTCAAGTCTCAAAATTGGATAAATATCTCAGATACTTATTTATATTTATTTATCTAATGATTAAATGGAGTCAAGACTCCATTTGGGCAGATAATTTCTAAAAAATGGGCTGAAAGGTTGAGGCATTTCCCAGGGTACTCACTCAAGGGCAGGGGAAGATGGCTCTTCGCTCTTTATTAATAACTGTGAGTTGACATAAAGGAATGAGCACTGAGGTAACTACTTTTTCCTTAAAGTTCTTCCTACTGAAGAACAATTTTTTTTTTTTTTCAATAAAGGGACTAGAGATTAAGCCTGGAGTGGTGGCTCATGTCTGTAATCCCAGCACTCAGGAGGCTGAGGCAGGAGAGTCACAGGTTTGAGGCCAGCCTGGGCTACAAAATAAGTTCAAGGGGAGATTGGGCTACCACAGCTAGACCCTGTCCCAAAAAAACAAAACAAACAAAAACCCCTGAGACTATGTATTAAATAACTTTCCATGCAACCCAAATACAATGTAATATTAGTTTGGATTTGGCTAACTCCCAGCTCCTTCATCTCCATGAGGAGATGGTGTGATGTTCATCTATTTGTCTAACAAGTGCTTCCTGGACGTCCCTCTCTTGGGGATTGGGGATCAGTGGCCCTTGCCTTCCCAGAACTTCTAATGTAGGAAGAACCACACACTAAACAAACACACAAATGAACTCACACAGAACATGAACAAGGAGAGTGGTCATGGGGGGTCATGACAGAGCAGAAGAGCCTGATTTGGGTGGGGGGAACCCCAGAGGGCCTCTCTGAAAGGATGACAATGAAGCTAAACTTCACGGGCTGAGCAGAGCGCAGGGAGAGCCCTGTAAGCAGAGGGCACAGCACGTGCTACAGCCCACATAGGAAAAAGAAAACCCAGGGTAGAATGAGCCTGCGGCCGAAGCACAGGGAGCAGGATGCTGGGAAGGTCACCAGGGACACACTGGGTCCTGGTGCTGAGTTACACTTCCCATCTGAAGTCCTCCATGTCTGCGTAACCTGGGTTCCCCTGATCTCTGGCTTCCAGAGCGTGGCCAATAGGAAGCATTGGCGGGAGAGGCTGCAGCGCAGTCAGTCATGCACCTCAACAAGAGAAGCCACCTATGTGATGGTGGTCCTGTAAGATTACACTGCCTAGTGACATCACAGACACCTTAGTACCCCCTATGACGTTTGTACAATGATGAAATCAGCCAGAATGTGTTCCAGTTGTGAAGTGATGCACGATTGTATTTCTCTTTCCTCCCTCTTGGCTGGTCTGTGACATTGGCAGGGGCTTTGGTACCTGGTCCCTTACTTGCAGCTACAGCTCATAAGGGGCCACAGTTCTCACCAGCTTCCAGAAACTTCTCTCTTCCCCCTCGGAGACTGCTGAGCCTAGGAGGAGAGCATAGCTCCCTGCTGTTGCTGGTCCCTGGATGCCTCACTGCCCTTTGGTTCCCTTTACCCACCTAGCCTCTGGAAGTCTTGTTCCTTAACTCCTTCCAGTTAAATTCTTGAGAGGCAACTACTTCCTGCTGAGTCCCTGACAGATGCAGGTGCTGGCTAAGAGACAAGCATGCTGGCCACTGCAGCTGCCTCCTACAGAACAGAACAAGAGCAGAAGGCAGCAGGAGAGTTACCACATGACCCCCTCCCCAACACCAGTCATGAAATTGCAGACTGTAGAAGGTTCTGGACAGTCAGAACAGCTGGTCCCTCACTTCCACAGTAGGGCCTGGGCTTGTTTACCATCCACAGGCCTGAGGACAATACTGATGGCCCTTCAGAAACAGTCAAAGACAATTCACTGCACAACAGGAGATGGTGCGACCACCAGGCCACCTGATCCCTGTAGCACAGTGTTTCTAGAACACTCACAATTACTTACTCAACAGTCATTTTCTCAGTGCCAATAGTGTCTGGGTCAGGCGCTTATCTAGCCAGCCCTTTAGGGCCCATTGTGTACCAAGTACTACTCCATGATAGATACAGGAAGGTACATGTGACATTTGGCTTCCTTTGAGGAGGCAGCAACTGCATCAATCCGTTGTTTTTAGGGTGTGGTGAGAGCACACAGATGTAGGGAAAGGGTGTAGGAGGGTGAATATGGTGGAAATATGTACACATGTATGAAAATGGAAAAATGAGATCATTTCAGGAATGGGGGAGGGGGGATAAAGGAGAATGATGGAGGGGTGAATTCAACTATGATATATTGTTAAGAAGTTTTGTAACTATCACAAGGTACCCCCAGTACAACAATAAAAAAATAGAAAAAAGATGGAGAAAGCTGTCTGGTCCAGTCTTGAAGGACATTAGAAACTCTCTGGGGGTGGGGTGGGGCTGGGAGGGCCGATGGCAGGTCAGGCTGGGTGGGCCAGGGCCCAGGCTTCCTCCCATAGGGGACACAAGGTACCTATGGGGAAGGCAAGGTGGGTTAGGGGCTGCTTTCTCTGTATCTGTAACATTTTTGTTTTTAAAAAATAAAGAGAGGAAGGAAAGTTGAAGAAAGTAAGGCAAATGTTAACATCTGTTAAATCTGGCGGTGAGCACATGGGTGTCTGTTACATTAATTTCTGCAGTTTTCAAAATGTTTAAAATTGCATAATTGAAGTCCTTTTTTGTTTTTGTTTCTTTTCTTGGCAGTATGGGATTTGAACTCAGGGCCTCTGGCTTAATAGACAGGCACTCTGCTGCTTAAGCCACACCTCCAGTCCCCAATTTTTGTTTGAGACAAGGTTTCCCTATGTAGCCCAGCTGACTTTGAACTCATGATTCTCCTGCCTCTGCCTCCTGAGTACTGGGATTATAGGTGCCACCACACCAGTCAACAAAAGTCTTTTACATTAAATTGTACAAATCAGAAAGAAGTTACCCTGGCAATCAAGCTGAGATAGGCATGGAGAGGTGAGAGGTAGGAGCAGGCAGAAAGGGGAGGACTGGAAGAAGGGCCCTTAGGCCACCTCAGCCCCAAGCTTCTGACACACAAGGTGGGTACCTCCTCTTTAAGAGTGTGTAGGACCATCTCCCATGATCCTTCACTAGGGCTCCCTCTCAGCTTTAAACACTGCCTTCATCTAGGTACAAGAAGCCAGTGTTCTGCAGCTGCCACTGTATGTCCCAGAAACAAATGGGCAGCGGGAGAGGCAGGCTAGGGTCTTGGACATGCCCACAGGTATCAGCAATCACCCGGCAATGCATCCGGCACAGTGGTTCTCATCAGCACCTGTTGTCTGTTGGAAGGCCCCTCCCTTCTCTGCTACACCCAGCTGACAAAAGAAACTGGTAAGTTCTGGTAACTCCACCAAGCCTAGAAACGTACAGACACATACCCTTGACCCAGTGCATTTGTTGTGGGAATTTATTCTGCATCTGTACCCTCGGTCATAGGTGCAATGGGTGCAGAAACAACTCCAATGCCCATCAGTGGAGGACAGTGGGAGATGATGGTGCGTCCATAAAATGGAATATTTAGCAGTCAAGTGAAAGAAAAAGCGCATTGTGTGCTGGAAGGCAGAGATGTCAAAGACAGCCAAGGGAAAAATGCAGGACGTAGAACAGTGTAGGCTACCACATGTATTAAAAAGTGGACAAGGCACATCCATGTATTGTCTGTAAGAATCAGGACACACTGACAGCTGACATGGATGTGTCTGTGAGGGCAACTTGGTGGTGAGGGAGGCATTCAAAATCTAGAAAATAGTACACCCTGTCCCACTGCCAAGTCTCCAGGGACAAGTTAATGGCCTAGGCACCAATGGCATGGTATCTGAGGTCTACAGCTCCATTCTCCCTGCACCCCCTATGGCTTTTCCTTTGTCTTTTGAGATGGACACTATGCTAGGAAGCACTGTGGTTGGGGAGGATACAGAACAAGGATTTGGATCAAGCTTGAGGCCTATGCTACCTGCCCATATGTGAACTTAACTCCCAAGTGGGGCTATCTCTTACAGGTGATCCCTGCCTGTCCTTCCACTCCTGGGATTTTCTCCAAGGCCTGTGTCTCTGTTCTTGCAGCCTAGTGGCCTCCATTCTGGGCCTTTTGTTCAACTCTTGGGAAAGCAAAACCCTCTTTTTGCTGAATTCGAAGCTTCTCGAATGTTAAGCTGAGAGCTGCCAGCAAAGGAAGCAGCTCCACTGTGGAACACCGAGCACACCCAGCTGTGCTTCCATACCTCATCCCCAAGAGCCAAAGCACACAGTGCCTTTGTCTTGAGCCAGATTGAGATGGTTTTCCTGTCACTCATAGCAAAAGTCCCCATGCCAACATAATCCCCAACCATTTCCTTATCACAACTGTGGTCACCCTGAGGTGGCTGGAATTACTCTCTGAGGTGGTGTGGGACACGTGACAGAGCCCGGCTGGAGTGCTGCTAGAGGCTGTCTTCACTGTGTCAGGTGGGAGGGTATGCGTGGGCTGAGGAGGCAGCTGTACCTGTAGCAGACATTTTCAGTGCAGGGGTTGTGGACTCGGACGATGATGAAGACGTGCTGAAAGTGTGAGCGGATGTTCTTGGGGGTAAAGGGCAGTGCTCCGGGCTCCTGGAAGATGATCGTCACGATGTCGTTCCCTATGTGCCTCTTCCTCAGTAGCTGGTAAATGGGCGTAAGAGTAGGGAGAGGACTGTGTCAGATAGGCTCCAGGGGTCTTGCCTGGAGCATAGCCACAGCTCCTGGCTGTCTCTGTTCCCACTGTGACCCACAGTCTGCCTCCACATGCAGCCAGAGGAGCCTGTGAGCCCCAGACTCAGGTCGCATTCTCCTTGCCCAGATCCCTCTAGGACTCTCTCTGTCAGAGGACAGGACATAGTCCCTGCCATGGCCCAGAGGCCCACCTCCTGTGATGTTTCCTACAGCCCTCCCCACTGGCCCCAGCTGTTACCCAAACATGCCATAAACGGTTCCTCCTCAGGACCGGGGCTCTGGCTGTTCTGCAGCCTGGAACGTTCTTGCCCCAGCTTCCCTTGTGGCTTCCTTCCTCACTCTCCTGTGGAGGCCCATGCTGGCTAGCTTCTCCAAGACACACCCCCAATACTCCTCTGTCTTTGCTTCCTGCCCCCCACTTAGCATTCATGGACACTTGGCATATGTGACTTTTTCCCTCTCCCTCTTGTTCCTGGTTTGTCTTCCCACTCAACTGTCATCACCACAACAACAGGCTTGGGGCCTTTGACTTGATAAACTGCACTGACTGACAATGGCAGAGTCTGACTGGAGACCACGGGCAGGGCCAAAGCCAGGTGGCCATGTCTCCCCCTTGACACCTGGCTTCTGATGGGCTGGGGAGCCTGGCCCAATCTCCCCTGCTAGCTCATCTCTGAGGAAGACCCATTTGCCAAGATCATGTCTCATTTACAGTTTAGTCTTCACATGCAGTATGAGCCACAGATGGAACTATGTTATTCTACACAAGGTATAGGGTGCAGACACCCTTAGCAGGGCAGCCGAGCCTACTGAACTGTTACTTCCTTAGTGTGCGTTGAAGTGCACTGAATTAAATTGCTAGAGAAAGCTCCTTCCTACCATGGCTAATCCTGCACTAGGATCATCTTACAGCTGTGTTGTCAATTCATGTCTCACTGAAACCTCACAACCCTGAGACACAAGTCACCTACTTTACTCCCTTTACAGGCTCACAGAGGCTCAAATGACCTGTCTTTCAAGACGCAGTGCTGAAGGGAAAGAGCAGATTCCAACTCACTTTTGTTGACCTCCGCATTGTCTCCTAGGCCTCCCCAGCTTACAGGTAACCACTGCTCCAAGACCCTCTGAGTGACACTGTCTCAGGCTCTGTGCACAGGAGCACAGACCTTTCCAGAGATCACAAGATGGTCCCACTGTACCCCTACTGTACAGAAGAGCCTGAGGCTCAGAGAGGGGAAATCACTTCCCTGAGGTCACACAGCTAGTAAGTGGCAAAGAACTCAGACTCACATCTAACCCTAGGACCGATACTCTTGAGAGCATGTTGTTAGGTTAACCTTAGGAAGTTGCTGAGATCAGGCTATTTTTGGCCTACAAACTGCAATTTTACCTGCACCCACAGGGAGAACATTACACAAGTTCTAAATTCTCAGCACTCTGTACAGTTTCTATTCATTAGGAACAGGGAGAGTGGCTCAATAGGCCCAGTGTGCCTGGTGCATCTCTGGCCAGTGGGTGTTTGCTGCTGTTCCTTTTCCTGGTAGCCACATCCAGCCCCTCAGGGAAAGCACTTCCCTTACCTCCAATCCCATTTCAAGCTGAGCTGACCCCATTTGCCCTCCCCAGCACTGCAAGTACCTCAGGCTAGGCTAATCTGTCCACTCCATCCCCATCCCAGGCCCAGGGACTGGCTTATGAATGATTTAGTGAGATTCAGTTTTGAAGCATTTCTGGGACTTTGGAAGGAAAAGACTCCTCCCCATGGCATGGCTAAGCTGGTGACTTACGGGCTGAGACTGCTAAGGGGCATCTTTGTTACTACTTAGGAAGACCTGAGAACAAAGCCACTACAAAAAAAAAACAGAGGTGAGAAATGGAGAGAATTCCTAAGATTGTTTGTGTACCTGGATCTAGCCAGACCTAAAGCTAGCATTTTCCCAGAAACTTGGACTCATATAACCCAATAAATTTCATTGTCTTGCTATTACTGGTATGGCTTGAGATCAAATTATGATATTGACTAATTTACTCTTCTTTTTCATAGGACCAGTGATGACCTCTGAAGGGAGTTGGGGTAGCTAGAGGCAAGAATGGTGGTCAAGGTTCCAAACAGACAAACCACTCCTCAGTGTCCACCCCATCCTCTGGCCTCTAAGTTCCAAATAATGTGACCATGGTACAGAGGTTCTCCAAGGCCAAGGGCAAGAGCCTCCATCTGATCCATGGGTCAGTACCAGGACAGCCAGCATTGGGCAGGTGGGCGGCCAACAGACATGGTGGGGGTGGGAGAATGCCTTCGGCCCAGCTTTGTGCCAGCAGGAGACCACTGACCTGCTGTCTGTTGTTGGGGGTGTACGGGAGCAGGGTGGAGACATGGAACATGATCTCATAGTCCTGGTACGTCGTGTAGAGGGAGTGGGTCCCCGTGGAATCAGCTAGGACAGAAACATGAGTTAGTATCACAGTTCCAAAGCCTGTGGGTTTCTTCCATAGTCCACATGCCATCTGTGCTAGTTGTAAACTTGATTCTTTTACTTAAATCCACTCCTTACAAGAAATAAATTTAGATAAAAAGGAAACCTCCTATTATATGCCTACTGGATTGATACAAACTAGAAAGATTTGATAATATCAAGGGTTGGCAAGGATATAGAGAAACTGGAATCCTTTTTATGTGGCTGGTTAGGTGTCTAAATTGGTGCAATTGCTATGGAAAGCTTTTTAGCAATACCTCCTAAATGCGAAGATAGGCTTAACTAAAAATCCAGTACTGTCTTCTAGGACACAGCCTAGAGAAATCACGCACACACACCCTGGGATACAGATACAAGAGTCTTCCAGTGTTAGCCAAAGGATGGACAAACACACTGTGGTACACTAATACTGTGGGAAAATATCCAGTCAGGACAAGGAACAAGGCAAGATGGGTAAATCGTACAAAAGTAATGTGTGACAGACGCCAGATGCAAAGGAGCACACGCTGTATGATTCCATTCATGTTACAAACAAAAGCAAACCAAGTAAGTTAACTACTTAAAGATGTGGACATAGGAGCAAAACTATGAAGGAAAGCAAGGAAAGGATTATCAAGGGAGTCAGGACACTGGTCAGCTCTAACAGAAAGGAGGAATGATCAGGGAGAGGAAATTATTTACCCCATATTTTAGAGGGGGAAATTGAGGCACAGAGGTCACATTGCAATGAGTGGTGGAGTGTGGACCAGAATTCAGGCTGGCCAACTCTACATTTTTTTTCTCAACCCCTTAGACAGGGTTACACACTGTTGCCCAGGCTGGTCTGGAACTAATGGCTCAAGAGATCTTCCTGTCTCAGCTGAGACATGTACTACTCTGCCCAGTTTCCGTTATCTCCCTCCCTTCCTCCTTTTCTCCCTCCCTCTCTCTTCTTCCAGGGCTGAGGATGGAACCCAGGACCTCATGTATGCCAGACAAGTGTTCCACCTTTGAGCTCCAGCTACACCAGAACTGATTCCTTTCTTTCTTTTTGTTTTTTTGTGGTTCTGGGTACTAGGGGTTGAGCTCAGGGCTCAGGGCCTCGTGCCTGGGGGGCAGGTTTGCCATCACTTGAGTTACTGTGCCAGTCTAGACTTGACTTCTTAACAGTATTCCATAGTGCCTCTCAGGGTTGGGGGTGGGGTGGAGACAGTAAGCACAGGTAGCCACTGCCAGAGATGGGCACTGAGCTTCTTGGGAGTTCTCTAAGAATATCTGTTTTGCACAGAACCACATGCTAAGCGTGGGTACTGTTCCCAGGTCCCAGTTCTCTACAAGGCCCTGTGCTGGATATCTTGATCCTCACTGCAACCCACTGAGGGGCAGGATATGGAGGAGGACCTGAGTCTGAGGAACAGGCCCGTGTCTGAGAAGTTTGTCTGCTGATTCTTTTCTGCCCGTCTTGCGTCTTGCTCCTTTAGTGAAGGACACACCTCGTCCAAAGGCTGTGCCCACAGTAACACTCACCCTCGCCGGCTTCCTAGGTGCAAGGGGTGTCGAGGCTGACTGTTCCCTCGGCACAGCTCAGGCAGCAGCACCCTCATGGGCTTTGTGAGTGCCTGGTATGGATTGAGGGCTTAGGATGCTTGGGCCAGTGGTGCCGCACCAGACCCAGAAGGCTCCTGAAGTAGATGCACCTATGACCCTCCTCCATAGATGAGGAAATGAAGCAGAGAGGCAGCAGCGCCTGTCCAAGATCACAGAGCCAGCACGGGGAATACTAATACGCTTACTGTTTCCATGGCCTCCTGCAGTGAAGGTGATGGCAATGAAAGCCAAGTGTACCTGCTCAGCACCTTCCGTTTCCAAGAGTAATCCTTTGCTCTGGGTCTCCCTTTTCCAGATGAAGAAACTGAGGCTTAGCAAGGTGTGGTGAAGAGCAAATGTCTGAGCCACCTCAGAGCTTTCTGACCCCTAGCCTGAGCCACTAACCCAATGATGGCCCAACCCTGAGGGCAATAGTAGTCCACCTCTCCAAACTACTTATCAGGAAATGGTCAATCCCACACTCAGATATACGGATGCAGGCACGTGCAGCCTGAGAGAATGCTATCTTGCTTACACTGCACCTACCACTGCCCTAAGAAACTGACCCCCAGCAACGCTACTGTGACCACTATTCACCCGCTCCCTGAAGAGTGGCCCACTGGTCTGAATGCAGTGTCTGTCACCCCCTGTGTTTCTTTAGAGCTCTGCTATATGACAGCAAATACCCCCACGGTATAGTCTTCTGCTTTTTAAACAACTGATGATGTAAAAGGCATCAACCTGGCATGTGTTCTGAGACTGTCTCTGTGTGACATGACGCCCACGGCCCCCGCCAGGCCTGTCTGTGTGTGAACATCCACAGTCCTATGGGATGCACGACGCACAGGCTGCACATCTGATGGCACGTGCACAGCATTCGTACGACTACTGAGCTATGCAGAGGGCTGTGTTCAGTCTCCTGGATATGCTACACTGTTTCCCCAAAGTGACTGCACCATTTGTGTTCAGAGAGCTCCCCCTGGCCAATGCACCCCCCTTGGCAGCACCAGTCTTTTTAGCTTCTGCCTGTCAGGCAGGCAGGTAGTGTGGGCTCCCCATCACCTAAGTAGCCCCTACTCTTTTTTTTGTCTGTGCTGGGGATGGAACCCGGGCCTGCATGTGCTAGGCAAGTGCCCTACCACTAAGCTGCACCCTCAGCCTCCCACTTACTTTTGACATCCAGCTGGGCGGCGTACTTGGTGAAGCCCTTCAGACAGACCTTCTCGCCCAGAAGGGCGAGGAACTCCTCAAAGGCGGGGCCGGCCTCCTCGTTGTTGTACATCTCCTCCTCGGAGCTCTGGCCCGTCTTGCAGTAGAGGATGCCAACCTTGTGCTTGCGGCACAGCTGTGGAGGCGAGAGCGCTGTATGGCCTGCCCGGCTGGGAGGTCCAAGGAAATGGGGAAGGGAGTTCTGAGGTGCTGAGCCTGGGAGCTGTGGGACCATCTGGGAACATGAGCTACTGCGCACAGGGAAGGAAAACGGCAGAGGCGCAGTGAGGTGCCTACACTGCCTGGAGGGTGGCAGGTGACATCGCTCTTGAGGCAAAGTGGGTTGCCATAGCTGGCTTCTCATGGGAGGTGGATGGGCACTGGCCGACGTTCTACCAGTGCAAACCCTAGAGGGCTCGGTGCTATGGTCTGTGCTGTCGTTGGGGCAGTGGCCTCCAATAACCATGTTTGTCTTGGGTAGGCCCTGATTCCCCATGGACAGACATCTGACTTCAGCGGGCGCCAAACAGTGGCTCAAAGGCCCTGTGACTCAGCTAGCTGGGGTCTGCTCAAGGCTGTAAGTCCAACAGCAACAAGAGGACTGCAGGAGAGGCCAGAGAAGCCCAAGGGTCAGTGTGCAGGGGTGGGGTGGAAAGATGGAATCTCTCTTATATACACATGACAAGGGTGGGAACCTCTTGATGGCCATCTCGTTCCCAGGCTACCTCTCAGACAATGATGCTCCTAGACCCTCTAGAACTTGATAATGGCTCTCTTCCATTACTGAAACTGGCATAAGTGGGTTTCTGTTACTTGCAAAAGCAAATAAATGCAGTGACCAGGACAGAAAGAGCAGTGGGAGTGGCACCACCCACAGCTCCCCACCCTGAGCCCCGGCTCACCCCTTGCTCATCGAGTTTCAGCAGCTGCTCTGTCACCTTGGGAGTGTTGAGAGCCAGTCGGAGACAGTGGATGTTGAGCTCTGGGACAACGTACTCCAGCGCGTCCTTCAGGGGCAGGCCCCGCCCAGTGCCATGCTTGGTGGCTGTGGGTGTGGCGTCCTCGAGGATGGAGCCCCGCAGGGTGATGAGCTGCTCAAGGGAGAGAAGGAAGGTTAGAGGGCTCTCAGAAGTCAAGCACACAGGGGTCCCACTTTCAGTCCCATGCATGACATCAGAAGCCCTGAGGGCAGAACACTCTGGGGGCTGAGTTAGGACCAGTAACATGCCATCTACCTTGCTGTGATGGTGACCAAGAAACTCAGATCTCTGAGCTTCAACTTCTTCTGAGGTACAAAATGGGCCCAATGACAGTGAAAGGAGGCTGGAGGGCTAAATGAGATAATGGATGTGGTGTTTCTTTCTTTGCTGGCTCTTATCACCTACGTGCTAGTCCTCCTCTAGGTGTGGGGACAAACGAAGTACACCAGCTCACGAGGAGGAGTCTCATTGCCATTGTTAGGGCAGCATCACACTAGAGAGTACCAGACTTACTGCCACAGGCTCTGCCCTGGGTATACTGGGACCAGCTGGGATCTGCAATTATGGTGCTGTGTTTTAATCAGTTTCATGAAAAAATCATCACCAGGGACTCTGATTCAGTTGGTCTTCGGTGGGCCAAACATGTAAATATGTGTAATGTGTCTGTGTACTACACACATACGTATTTTTAATTTCTTTCATGTGATTCTGATGTGTGGTCAAGGTTAAAAACCATTTGCAAAGCCAATTATGTCATCTTATTCCCCGTCCCCAGGGTTACAAACTTCCCCTATTTTGGCCACATAACAAATGCCAGGCAATGAGATGTGAGGGAGATTTGACTTGCTGAGGACTATTGGGGCAGATTTTCCTCTCTAATAAAAGGGAAGTTCCAAACTGGGTGTGGTGGTGTCCGCCTGTAATCTCAGCACTCAGGAGGTGGATGGAGGGAGATCTTGAGTTCGAGGCTCTCTCAATGCTGAGCATATGTGGTTTGAGCTGCAGTGAGGCCCGATGCTTCCCCCAGTGAATTTCCCCCAGCTCCTCTTGCTGAGCACCACAACTGCTCCCAGAATTTGACAACCGTGAATGGTGCTGTTGGGAACACCACAGAAGCACTCTTGGTGCAAACGGATGTATTTTCTTTTGGGTTTGCACCTAGGAGAGAAACTACTAAATCACCAGGCCTGCGAATCTTCAATTCTACTCAACTGCCAGACAATTTTGTAAGTGGTTGTTCCAATTCACACCCTGCTAGCCCTGTCTGCAAGCCCCATGCTTCGCTTCCTCCTGACACTAGCCCATCTACCACTTGCTGCTGGCTGTGAGATGAGGTCCCACCCCGGGCAGGCACAGCAGGTCAGCATTACACAAGGGATGCACAGCACGGGCCTGAACAACCCAGGGAGAAACTCCTCCCCCAGGGCTTGCTACAGGGATCCAAAAGACACTAACGCTGTGGGTTAAACACTAAAGATCAGTGTCAACTGCAAAAACATGCTCTGCTGAGGCAACAACATGTCATGATTTTGCCTCTGAGCATAGAGCCCACCCTTGCCAAACAGGCCTTGAGCAAGAGGCACATGGAAAGAATAGAATGAGCTCATGGTTGGAAGTTTCTAGTTCTGGCCCAGGCAATTAATAAACAAACAAATCTCTCTTATCACAAGCAAGGCAGTGGTGAGACAGACTGCAATACATCCCCAATGTCAGGTGCTTTGCCCAGCTGGTCTGGGTTGCCCTGGGGTTGTGGTTTCAATGAATGTCCCACTAGGATCTGCGTCTTTGTGTCCTGTTGACCATGTCCCGCAGCGCCCTCTGCTGGAGACTAGGAACAGTGTGGACTAGAAATGTTCATTCTTCACACTGGAGACAGGTCACAGGCTTATGGTCACAATTTGGCTCTGACCACTATCCAATGCTTGTTACTTGAAAAGCTCCCAGCTCTGCTGGGATGTAGCTCAGTGGTGTGGTGTTTGCCTAACGTGTGCAAAGTCCTGGGTTTGATCCCCGGTACTAAAATAAAATAAAAAATAATTTATATATATTAAAAAAACAAAGAAAGAAAAGCTCCAGCTCTTCCTTGTGCACTGGGCAGTTATAAGTGGCCATCTCTATCCACCTGTTCATGTCCCCTGTTACCTCCCACCTGTACAGCAGCCCCCTCCTAGTTTCCCTCTCCCAGCCCCACTCTCAGCCCATTCTCTCCAGAACAGCTGGAGTAAGATCACAACTCCCTGCTCAGAGCACGGTAACGCCTGGCATCATCTCCCAGAGGGTAACAAACCAAGTGAGCTGATAAAGGGAGAGTCCTGTTTGTGTGGCTTACTCTGTGGATGGGGGTGCACACCCAGCAGAAACTTCTCCTGGGAGGGTGCCTGGGAGTTGCTCTGCCAAGGCTTAAATCTCAGCTCTATGGCACTGGGCAAGTCACTGAATTTCTCTATGCTTTATCTATTTCCTCACTGACAAAGTGGTGAATAGAACGACTACCTGAAAGCACTGAAATGATTCAATAACAACATCCAAGTGGAGTTCTTAGCACTGTATCTAAAATAACGATACAGTGCTACAATAGCTCAGAATGCGTGAGCTATTACTGCACACAGATGAACACACAAAGCCAAAGTCCAGAACTTAAAATGTCTTAATTTTACGTAGAAAGCTACTTTGATCCCCCTCTTCCCACCTTACAGTGTATTTGGGGACACACACACACACACACACACACACACACAATATCAGATATACCTATTGAATAGTAAGTTCCACTAGACCCAGTACCCTTCTTTCTTCACTTAGTAAGACCTTTCCCTTTCTACTTTGTGTACTTATGTGTTCTCTAAATTCTTAACTATGAGTGTTTGGTATATTTCAAATACAAAAGAAAAACGGATAAAGAAAATAAAAACTTAGCAAAGTGCTGGTAGCTCACACCTGCAATCCCAGCTACTTGGATAGGTGAGATCTGGAGGATCATTGTTTGAAGTCAGCCGGAACAAATAGTTCAAAAGATCCCGTCTCCAAAATAACTAGAGCAAATAAACTTGTGGCTCAATGGGTAGAGTGAATGCTTTGCAAGCACAAAGCCTTGAGTTCAAACCCCAGTCCTATTCCCACCCCTGCCAAAAAAAAAAAGGAAAGAAAAACCCAAACTCTACCCTATCAAAACCAAAGCCTAGGGCTGAAGGCACGACTCAAGAGGTAGGGTGCCTACCCAGCAAGTGCAAAGGTGTGAAGTCAAACCCCATTACTGCCCAAAACAGAACAAAACAAAAAATTAAGGTTTATATGGGCAGGGTGGAACACACCTGTAATTCCAGCACGGGGGAGGCTGAGGGAGGATCGCAAGTCCCTAGTTTGGGCTATGTAGCAAGACCCTAACTCAAAAAAACAAAAAATAAAGCCTGTCAAAAATTCCCATTTACCAGGCTAAAGGGAGTCTGCTGAGCCTAGTGGGTCAGAGAGTCCCTGGCTGTCTGGGGCATCCTGTGTCCCAGCTGAGCAATGTCAGGACAAGATAGCCCTGCTCAGGCCTTGTCCTGTCCAAGCTCACTGGGGAGTTGTGGCTCACAGGCGTGTGTGGCTCAAGCCCAGCTCTGAGTCTGCTCCATCCTCAGTGGGAAGCTGGCACTGCCAAGGCTCACATCCCATCTGCTGGGAGATGTGGGTCCACTTGAGACTGTCTGCTTGGCGGCCAGGGACAGCCATCTGGGGCAGGCCAGTCGGCCTGCTTGGAAGGCGGCCTGGGCCCCATGCCCTGGGTTGCAGGGGACTGAGGCACATGTATGTGGACAGCATGGGTCTCTGACCTCTTAGGAAGGATGATGGCCATGACAGCACCATCAGTCATGACAAAATCTGGCACTCAGATTCTTCCTGCCACTCATGGGTGCCAGCCTGGGCCCCTCCTTCTTCTCTAGGTATTGGGTCACAGCTCAAAGCTTGTCTTACAGATGAAGAAACCCAAGTGCACAGAGAAGCCACCTGCCCAGGGTCACATGGCTGGTGAGGGGCAGCACTGGACACTGAACCCAGGGCAGTCCTACTCCTGAGCCAGAAGGTGTTGGGGACAGGAGTGAAAAGGCCCCAGGCTCAGGAGCAGGGCGGCACGAGGCCATGTCGCAGTTCTGCCGCTGGGTGAAATCATTTCTCTGGACCCCAATGCCCTGATATGTGGTGTGGGGATAATAAAGGACCCCTGTCATGGGACAGTGAGAAAGTGCTACCTGTTGTCACTACTGGTGTTACCATCTTTGGGCTATGGGACCCTCTGCTCTGCCTCCATGGCAGGAAGGGTCCTGGGAAGGAGCAAGGCAAACTTTGCAGGCCACTGTCTTCCCTCTGACTCCAGATGTCATGGGCTCAGGCCTAGGGCCCTGCAGGGCTTCTGCAAGGGCTGGAGCCTGGAGCTCAGTTTGTGTGGGGCTGTGAGACTTAGGGTAGGCCACAACCCACAGATAGGGACAGGGGTGTGAGCAGGGGCAGGAGACTAAGATCCCTCCTGATGGTGAAGTTTGTTGGGCTCTCCCCAATGCTGGGCTCAGCAGTGCCTGCTTTCCACGTACACTGCGTGCTAAAGTGACATCAGTTCTGGAAACCCGGAAGCAGCAAGGGGGAAACTGAGGCTCCAAGAACGGAAGCCACATGCTAGAGTTTCAGAGCTGCTGGATGGTAGACTAGGACTCAAACCAGGCTCCATATATCAAGCATGGACCTGCCTCAGGACCTGTGCACTGGTTGTTAGGTCTGCTCAGAACACTGCTCTGCCAGATAATCGACATGGCTCCCTCTCTTTCCTCCTTCAGGGCTTTACTCCAATGCCACTGCACAGTGGCACCTCCCTTGACCACCCTGGTGCATTTTCCTCCTTGTCAGCACATACCACAGCACAGGTTACTAAAGTATCTTGTGTACTGCCTGTCTCTCCCAGGAGAGTGCAGTCCCTCAACCTCTGCTGTAACAGTCACTACTGTACTTCCACTGCCCAGCTCAGGGTGGCAGGTGGTGCTGCCCAGTATATCTGTGGGATGAATGAATCTCACATCTGTGTCCTGCACCAGAGTCCCCAAATTAATTTGTGGTAGTAGGAGTGGACAGAAGTAGGCACAAGCTGGGAGTGGCACTGAGCCAGTTCCCAACTTACTGAATAGGAACCATGGTAGAAGTTATTCCCTGACACAGTGTCTATGCATGAGTCTCATCACCCTCAGTACACGATACAGCCTGGTATTTAAAAACTTCATTCCACATGTTCTATTTTTCCATTTGTTTTTCTGATCTTGCTATGGAGCCTAGGCTGGCCTAGAACTCAAGACCTTTCCTGCCTCCTGAGTGCTGGGATTATAACTGTGCATCACCATACACAGCTCTCATATTCTATGTTTATTAAAAACAAAAATGCTAGCACCAAATTAGCTGCCAGCTAATAACTTCACAGTGCAGTCTAAGCTGAGCAGGTGACAGCCAAAGGAAGCCAAGACACCCAGCCCTGCCACTTTCTAGAGGCTCCAAATCACTGTGTCTCTTCTGTCATATAAAGTAGCACGAGTGCCTCCACCAGCAAACTTTGACAGGATTTAAGTGAGTTAACATATATCAAGGGTGCAGCACAAGACCTACCACGGATGAGCAGTAATGCGCAGCTATAATACCTATTGCACAAACGTGGCTTTTGTGGCTGTTGCTTTACCAGCACTTGCCCACATGTCCTAAAGCAGCCTGATGCCGTGTAAGCTGTCAGCTTGAGTTGTGCCCTGATGCTCATGTAGACAAAAAGGGGAGCCAAGGCTGGGACCCCCCTGTGGTCTAGGCATATGGTTTTAGGGCCCCCTTTCCTCAGCTGCCAAAAAGTTTCTGCGTCATCCCATGAAAGGTCTTCTTCGGGATGGGGTGAGGGCCCTCAGTGTATCATCTGCCAGCCTGGATTAAGTCCAGGACTTGGCTGGCCCCAAACCCCAAGTCCCTGGCAGTGGAAGCCTGCTGGTTTCCATGCCTGGGTAAAGGCCAGGCCCGAAGCAGCTGGGGCTTCGCAGGGCTGAAGATCCAGTGGGCCTGTCGGCTGCCTCTCTTCTGGAAAGTGTTTTTTGTTTTGTTTTGTTCTGTTTTTTGGTGGTTCTCAAGTTTGAACTCAGGGCCTCAAGCTTGCTGGACAGGAGCTCTAGCAGTTGAGCCACACCCCGACCCTGGACAGTGTTCTTTACTTGGCTGCTTTGGAAATCTCTGTTTTGCTTGCTTTGCTCCCCTCTTTTTGCTAAGGGTCTGCCCTGCCACATCTTGCATGTGGCTGCCATGGAGCTGTCAGTCTCAGGGCCAGGCCCCAGACCCAGGGCGAAGCATGTGTAGCAGATCTGGCCAGTTTCTTCTATCGCCCCCATCATGGTGACTGACCCAGGGCACAGGTGTGAGACCAAACCATAGCCGGTCAGACCCTGCAGGTAAGAGTCTGTTCTTTCTGCTGAAAAGCTAGAAGGTCTGAGCGGTGGTCTCCTTCTCCCATGATGTGGCGACAGCTTGTTGGTGGCAGAAGATTCAGAAAGTGAAAGCTGAGCGGAAAATGAGGGAGGGCAAGTTCTAGTGACCTGGCTGGGTCTCTGAGTCCAGCTATACCTGCAGCTAGCTCTACTGCTAGATTTACAGTTAGATGATCCAGTGACTCTCTTTCTGGCTTTAAGCCAGCTAGAAATAGACTTCTGTCACTTATAATTTAGGCTTTTACTAGTGCAGGGTACAAGCCATCTCCCCCAGCCAGGGTTAACCTTTAATCCAGGGCAGAACCTCAGGCCCTGCTCAGAAGGTAGGAGCAGGTGGCATGTTCTGAGCTGAACAACACAGCAGCAGGGCCTGTTGAGATGTCCCAATCCTGCCCTGCTGAGGCTGCTCCTTTAATTCTTTCCATTATGCAGGACACCTCAGAATACTGAAATGATCCCTTACCTCCCCTTTGTTTCTTAGGCTCACTAGAGTTAAGCCCTTGCAAACAGATTTTGAAATCCTGGCTCTGAAGTTACACATTGGATTAAAATTCTGGCCTGGCTGCTTATCCCCTGATCTCACACCAGTCATTTTTTCAGTCTCAGTTTCCTTCTCTATAGAACAGAGAAACTAACGGGGACCTTCTCCTGGGCGTGGAGGATTTCACGAATTGAAGTAGGGAAGCACTTGCCCCAGTGCCTGGCTCATAGTGAGGGCTCATCTCTATTACTTATGTGACACAAACACAAGTAATGGGGCCTACCTCTCGGGTCCGGAAGATAATCCGGTACTGGTACTGAGGTCCATGGTCCTTGTGGTCTTCCAGCTTCTCCCGCTTGATGCTCACGGCCACTGGCCCCAGCTTCTCGTCCACACCGAAGTAATTGGCATGCTCTGTGAGGGGAGGGCAGGTAGGTTCAGTCGGCTGTCTGAGAAAGAGAGGCCTGGCCACAGTGGGTCTATGATGAGGTGATGGGGGAAGGTGGTGGGAGCCCACATGTAATGGTTAAACTGTAAGAGGCAAAAGCCCAGCTTTCTTTTCTTTTTGTTTTTTTTTTTGGTGGTACTGGGGTTTGAACTCAGGGCCTCCTGCTTGCTAGGCAGGCACTCAAAAGCTCAGCTTTCTGTCCCAACTCTGCTAAGTCACAAAACCTTTGTGAAACTTAGTGTTCTCATCTGAGCAATAGGGGTCTGATGTTACCCATAATTCAGACAGCTGAGGTAAGGGAGACATGACACTGCAAATGTGATTAACCTTGAGTCTGCACATGGTTTGCTGGGTTTAGCTGCCTGTTAGCCCCCACGAAGCAATTATGCCTGCACTCTAGAGCCTCCAGCAGCCCAAATCTCAGGTGAGATTAGGTATACGGCACAGGCCAAGTCACTGGACACCATCCCCAACAGTAAATGGGCTTAGGGACAGACCACCCCAAGGCACTGTTGTATTAAGTGACTTAACGTGGCGCCACGGAGGGCACAAAGTAGGCATGGCTAGGCTGTTACCATCCCCAGGGCCTGATGTCTGCTCTGGATCCAGACACAAGTCCCCAAGCATCACCTTTATCTGACCATGTTTCTTTAGACCAAGCTATCTCCATCATAGGGGGTAGAGCCTTTGGCAAGTCACAGAGCAAGTTTCCTGCTCTCTCCCCTCAATGGCAGCTGTCTTATCTTCTTTCCTAAAACATGCCACTGTCTTATAACCCCTCCAACAAATGGTTCTTCCCAATGTAGAATGCCAAGTGTCTCTGGCCTGTGGTGGGAACCCACCAGCAGTATGCTTGACTCTGGTTCACAGAGTTAGCACCTACCCACCTACCACCATCAGAAATTCAAGGGCACTGCATGCAGCTGTTTCCCTTTCTCTTTCCTTTCCTTCCATCCTTCTTCCCTCCCTCCCTCTTTCCTACCTTATACTTTTTTTTTTGTGGGACTGAGGTTTGAACTCAGGGCTTCGGGTTTGCAAAACAGGTGTTCTACCAGTTAAGCCACACCTCTAGACCCCTTTGCTCTGGTTATTTTATAGATGGGGGTCTCACAAACTATTTGCTTGGGCTGGCCTCAAACCACCCTCCTGATCTCAGCCTCCAAAGTAGGTAGGATTATAGGCATGAGTCACTAGTGCCCAGCTCCAACACTCCCCTCCCACCTTTTCAAGGTAGGGTCTTGCTATATAGCCAAGACTGGTCTTGAATACACCATCCTTCTGAGTGCTAGAAATGCAGCTGCTTCTTATTCCCATGCTGGTGCTCTGAATATTTAACTCATGGTTCCTGTTCGGAGATGCTCTTGGGGAATCAAAATAATGTGTTCTAACTGACAGCCCCTATACTGCACAGCCAGAGCCTTATTCCTGAAGCAGTTACAGGCTTTGTTGTTTTTTTACCCAGGCAAACGCAGCAATTTGCAAGTCCCAGCATGCACTAGGTACTCAATAAACACTGACCAATGACTAAGTTGTTCATCAGCCACCAGTGCTACAAAGAAATCAGTTTAGGAAGGAAATGGCGTTTTCTTTTTCTTTTTTCCCTGACATTTTTGAGACATCTCCCTATGTAGCTCAAACTGGCCTCAAACTTGAGATCCTCCTGCCTCTACCTCCCGAGGGCTGGGATTACTAGTGCAGGCCACCATAACCAGCTTAAATGACTCTGCCTGCCCATTACTCATTTCCCTCCTTTTCCTTTTCTTTTCTTTGTTGTTAAAAAATACCCTCCATTCTTGGAAGAAAAGAACTTTAGCTGAGAACCTACATTTCCCAGCTGGATGGGTTTGTAAGAAAGCTCTTTTAAGGGGCTAAACTGAAAAGAGGTCTGACTTTTTGTCCTTACCCTTCCCTCTTTTTCCTTGCCTGGAAATGGATAATGATGCTGGAGTCCCAGCAGCCATCTTGTCTCTGAAGGTGGGGAGGACCACTGTGAGGGCTGAAGGCAATGCAGTAAGGTGGCACTGCACTGTTATTGAAAAGTAACTACACCAGCCCTGTGCTATGATCTCTAGCATTCTTTATATTGCACACTTTATGCTGTTTAAACCTGTAACTAGCAGTTACAAGCAATTCTCAATCAATAGAGTTGCCAGGCATGGTGGTTGACTCCTACAATCTCAGCTACTAGGGAGGTGGAGATCAGGAGGACCGTGATTTGAGGTCAGTCTTGGCAAAAAGTTATCAAGATTCCCATCTCAACAAATAAATAAATAAACTGGGCATGGTGGTTCACACCTGTGATCCCAGCTACTCGGGTGGCATAGGTAGGAGGATGGTGGTTCAGGTTGTCCCTGGGCAAAAACCACAACACCCTATCCAAAAACAAAAACAAAAGCATAAGGGAATGGAGGTGTGGTGTGGCTCAAGTTAGCTACTACCTAGCAAATGCACGGCCCCGAGTTCAAATCCCACTACTGCCAAGGGGAAAAAAAGTCTGACTTTCAGGAGAATCTTGCAGAATTGTGAAGGCTGGCAACACTGGCTTATCTGCTTTCCCTGTATGAGCTGGAGCTGAGCAGGAGCCCAGCAGGCTTCAATTCTGTACATTTGCAGCCTGGGTTGGGGTCTCTACCCTGCTATGCTGCCTCCTGAGATCACCTGCCAGAAGCCAGGTGCTGGATGAGTTACAAAGCCCATTTCTCCTTGGTTGTCACCTCTCCATATCAACATCGATCCAGAACCTTTCTTTGAGACTCTTCCTGCTCCTGGGCTCCTGTCCTGGACACATTCACCATCATCTCCTGTCTGGATTATTCCAAGGTAGCCTCCCCTGCTCCTCTCCAACCCCAATAGTCAGTTCCCACATACAGCTTGATGGAGGCTGAGAACACCTACATTACATCAGGGCTTTCCTGCTCAGAGCCCACCTGTGGCTTCAACTCACTCAAGGAAACATGAATCCTTGCCATACCACCAGATGGAATTCCACCAGATCTGTCTTTGTCACCTCTCTGCCACGGCTCTTTCCACTCTCCCTCAGTCACTATTTCAGCAGCACTGGCCTCCTACCTCTTCCTCCAATGTCTAGGACTTTGGCACTTGCTGTTCTCTGTGACAAGAATGCTGTTAACCTCTACAGGGTCCCTTCCCTCGACTCCATGGCACCTCCAAGAAGACCCCGCCTGACCATCCTCCACTGAAGTGCTTTCCTCCCTAGCTCAGCACTGTTACACCTGTGGTTGTTTATCTTAACCCTCAGAAACATTAAGTGCTAGGAAGGCAGGATTTTCGTCTGAAGCTGCTCAACACCACACCCTCAGTCTCCAGAAAGCATTGGGCACATAGCTGTACCAAGCCACAACGGTGGCTTCTGTCTCGGGGTTAAACACAGGACCAAGGGCTGGGTGTGCCTCCCAGCCGGGAGGGTCCAATTTCCCAGCACCCTCTGTGCTGGGACCAGGATGGCACTAATAGGAGCGAGGGTCCCGGACAAGTGGGCTCGCCCTGTCACCTTTGCCCACGAAGTAGTCCTGGTAGTAGCGGGCGCCCAGGTCCACGTGCTCGATGTGGTACTGCCGCGGCCGGCTCTGCGTCCTCTGCTGTTCCTTGGGCACCTCCAGCACCGAGATGCTGGCGTTGGTGCGGAGTGCGCTGAGCGTGGGCTCAGCCAGGGGCGCGTCGCCACCACCACCACCACCGCCACCGCCACCGCCTGGGGAGCCAGCCGAGGCCCGGGAGAAGCTCACGTTGCGCTCGCGCTCCCCACCGATCTCGTTGCGGAAGTGCGGGCAGCTGAGCAGCAGCTCATTGCTGTTGTCGTCGCCAAGGTCCTGCTCCAGGTTCTCCTTGCAGTTCAGATCCTCCGTGCTGGTGAAGGCGGGGTCCAGGCCGCCCAGACTGTGGGCCCGCGATGTGGTGAGCGACGCCATGGCCGAGGCGGCAGAGGCGGCCGAGGCCCCGGTGGTGGTGTTGCGCCGCTGGGCCACGGAGCCCCTGTTGGCAGCCGCCTCGTTGAGGTCGAACAGCATGCTCTGCACATCGAAGTGGGCGAAGCTCTTCTGACACACCCATGGGCGACCGGGCTCGGGCGCAGTGCGGCCCTCCTCGCCCTCTCCGGGCGCCCGGCCCACCTCCCCCTCGGCCTTCCCGCCGCGCAGCTTCCGGAAGATGGACGCGTCTACAGCGTCCATGCCTGTGCCGCGCCCGCCCTTCTTGCGGCCCTTGTCCTTGTCCTTCAGAGGCTGCAGTGGCAGGAGGCCATCCTGGGACGGCTGCCCACGCCGGGGATCACACTTGGCTCCACGGCCGCCCCCAGGCAGGTGCGAGCCCGGCTCAGGTCGCAGGAGCTCGTTGAGGCTGCAGGAGCCCGGCGCGTCGGGCTGCTCGCTGCGGAACTCATTGAGGATGTCAAAGAAGCTCTGCTCAGGCACTGCCTGCACGTCGATGGAGGATGTGCTGCCATACTCGCGGAAGAGCGGCAGCGCCCCCGCCAGCCGCGCGCCCCGGGGCTCCGCCGGGTCCTCAGCGTCACACTCGCTCAGGGTAATCTCGCTGCTGCTCCGATGCCGCAGCGGGAGGAAGGCCCGGCCCGGGGACCGCGGCCACCCGTCTTGGAATTCCACATCTTTGGACCTTCTCCTGGACAGTCGGTGAAAGGCTTTGGACCCTGAGGCAGCCGGGATGCTGGCGGGGGGCTGTCCGTTCTGCATGCTCCTCAAGGAATGGGCCATCTTGGTGGCCTTGGCACCATCTGCGTCCTGTGAGGGGCTCGGGTTGCTCTGCTCTCTTAGGGCCTCTCGCTTGGGTGGCCAGTCGGCCACACGTGCACGCACGCCCATCTTGGGCATGGCAGGGGTGGTGGGGCTGGGGCGAGTGGTGGTGGCGGTGGTGGTGACCGGGCTCTCACCAAGAGGCTGGGCCATGCTGCCGTTCTGGGCCCAGAAGCCCATGGGAGTGTAGTCCCCTGTGTGTGGCCCAGGGAGGACATCAGCGCCCCTGGCCCCACAGCTTGGTGCCAGGTCCACACCATCATTGGGAAGGGGCCGATAGGTGGTCATAGTCCACAGGCACTGGAGTCTGCTGGCCCCAGAAGCTGTGGTGCGATTCTATGGGGTTCTCTGGCCCTCAGCCATTGTTCAGGGCTGCCAGTCCTAGGATGAAGGATGCTGGCCCCTGAAACCGGATTCGAAGGTTGTGAGCCTGTGGAATCCAGTTCTTCACCATTGCTGACAGTGATCCAGGGTAACCTCAGCCAAGCAGGTCAAGCAGGTGCTGTCCGGAGCTCTGGACCCAGAGGCTCAGCAGGGCAAAGCAGCCAGTAGCCTGAAGCCCAAGCCTGCAGGTGGCAAGGGCATCTTCTCCGCCATGCTGGAATGGAAAAAAAGGAAGACTGTGAGATGCAATGCACATGCTGTATGGCTCTGGCAGGATGAGAAATGTCTTTTTTTTTTTTGGATAGCTTTACTCATTTTTTTTTAAAAAACTTGTAATTATGGAGATTTCCAATCACACTCAAAAGCAGGGAGATTATAATGAGCCATTTCACCCTCAGTTTCAACAACTGTCAGCTACTTGCCACTCCTGGTTTTTCTGTTTACCCAGACAATCTTTTCTTGCTTTTGACAATATTTTTTCTGTGCCGCTGGGGATCAAGCCCAGGAACTTGCACGTGGTAGGCAGGCGCTCTACCACCAAGCAACACCACCCATCCTGACAATATTTTAGAGTAAATCCTAGACATCAGGTCATTTCACCCATAAATACTTAAGCTCATACTTCTAGCAGATAAGGTCTTTAAAAAATAATAACCACGATCCCATTATCATAGTCTTCTATTAATAAGAATTCTTTATAATCTCACAATACTCTGCCTGTAGTAGAATTCTCTCCTCTGTTCAAATGAGGATCCAGCAAGATCCATACTGCTTTGGTAAGTGCTTTTCTGGTCTCTTTCACTCCACAGTGAATGCCTTCCTTTGATTCTATACTTGTTGAAGGAATGGAGCAACCTGTTGTGTGCACTTCCCAACTTTGAGACCCCTGTGGTGCTCGTGTATTTCTTGGGAACTGATGGCTGCAGGTAGACAGCAAACTACTGCCCATCTGTTCTGCAGCCTGCCCACCCCAGCCACTCTGCAGAAAGGAAGTGAAAATGATGGATGAGTCAACAAGAGCCGGGCTGGATTGAGTGAGGGAAGCCTCAGAGAAATGTCTCTAGCAATCTTTTGTGACTGACAGAGATCAAGAGCCTTCTGCTAAGTCGCATCCCATCGCTTTTTTATTGAAATCTCCTTAGTGACTCCTCACTACTCTAGAATGAAACCAAACTCTTAACCCTAGCCCACAAGCCCACTGGACCTGCCTCCTGCCAGTTGCTCTGACGTCTCTCCCTACTCCTATCTAAGCTCCCATTGTTTTGGCCTTTTCTGTTCCTGTGATGTACCAAGTGTAATCTGGGACATCTGGGTCTCCTTTCTCCCTTTTCCACCAGGCTTATTCCTTCTAACGGTGGCAAGTCTTTAATAAAGACTTCCCAAGCCATTCTGTGGAGCTAGAGAAGCCCCATCTCCTCCAACCCTTTTTGTGTCACCCTCTACTTTTTTCTACTTTTCTTAGCAGTTGTCAACAGCCAAGATTATTTAGTACATTATCTGATCACTGTCTCCACTGCTAACATGTCAGCTCCAGGATAGCAGGGATGTCTAGGTTGTTCCCTGCTGTGTCCCCCGCCTGTACATCAGCATCCAGGTCATTAAGCCACTGTTGTATGAATGAGGCAATGGCCAGCCTCCATCCAAGGTCAGGCACATCTTGATGTGTAGGCCTCCGGAGAAGGAGTTTGTGCTTCTGGCCAGCAGTGTAAAATCCTCCATAGGATCACTTCCCTTTGTCTACCTTGAACTTCTGGAAGACGAAACTCCCTACTGGAAAGGAAGGGGAAGTGGTTGCCATCTGTGACTGAACCCGTCAGCAACCTCCTGACAACAGAACTGATTCTGTTGAGGGTGGTAGAATGTTGGGTGGTTTGAGCACCTGGCTCAAAGTGATGAGTGACTTTTCTGTATCTTGGAATCTGGAACCAGCCATGGCCACTCTGGTCAAGGATTTCTGGTGCTTCCCAGGTGAAGTGGACAGCCGTGTGTGTGTGCATGTGTGTACAGTGGGCACTTTCTTGTGTCTAGGTACAGAGTGAACTGGCAGAGAGAAGCACGAAGCTGACTCACGGGGAAAGAGCAGAGCCTCCGAGAAATCGAGAACCAGAAGGCAGAAAAGGTAGCAGGGCAGGGAGGGAGCAAGAGGGCTGTTCTCTTGCTGGTGCCCAGCGGGCACTGGAGCTTTCCTGAAGATATCCAGGCCTCCCTGGATAATGGGCCAGGGAAAGAGGAGGAAATAAGGAAGCCTGTTGGAGCCTATGGTGAACAGAGCATCAGGGGGATTTTCCAAACAGGCAGGTGAGCCTCAGTTTCCCCCATCTGTGTCTCTTGAGAATGTGGAAGTCAGATAATCTGAGTTTTCAAGAGAAATCAGAAATCTAGAACTGTAGGCAACATCTCCCAGTTTGAAAAGCAAAACTAATAGTGACAACAGCAGCAAACTTCCATGCAGAGAAGAGTTCTAGAAGGGTTTTTAAGAAACTGCTAACAGTGCTCATCTCTGGGGAGGAGCTGTGTTGTTTGTTCCCCTCACTCTCCTACCCTTCCCTGACTCCATCTTTCTCCTTTGCACTTATTTGCACACATACTTACTTCTCTTTTCAATACTGGCCTCCTGCCCTGTGCGAATGTGAGCCCCTGTGTCTCCAGTATCTAAACGTGTGTCACAGGAAGGACTTTCACTCCATACTACCAGCAACCTTCTGAATTATATGCGCGATTTTCTTTTTCCTGTTTGTGGGTCTGGGGATAGAACCCAGGACCTCACACTTGCTTGACAAGCACTATACCATGGAGTACCACCTCAGCCCTTCTTAGTGGCATCACCAACAAAAACCACACTGTGGGTCCAGAGAGTAAGAGATGGGCCAGATTTGAGAAGGGGCTGCTGATTTGCAGCCTCTGGTTACTGGATGGTGCCACAGCTTTGACAGAGAAAATGGAAATGTTTCTGTTCACTATCTGCTTACTGACTGTCTCTACCATGAAGCAGGCAGCTCCAGAATGAAGAAGGGCTTTCTGCCAGAAAGGGAAGAACCCAGCCCTCCCTGTGAACAGAGAGGCCTCAGTCCTTTGAGGCCACACTGGGCTCCGGGTGGGAACACCAGTGGCCCAGCTGTGATCCTGGCTGGCAGCACACACCTTCTGCCAGATGGGCTCTGCTGATGGCATTTGGTTTCTGGCTCCTTGGAAACCCCCAATCCATTTTTTGCCCTCTTGGGAACACACACAGATGTCCTCACAGGCCTTGGTCTCTGCACAAATCCCTTCTCCAAGCAGGTGCAGCCAAGTCTCCCTGCGATGCTCTGAGGCTGAGTGGCGCCCACAGCCACTGGGATTTGGAGAGTGATACGTGTTTGTCTCTTCAGGCTGTCTGCTGTTGAGCTCCCCCTTCTAAAAAGCACCCAAATCTTCCTGCCGGGACCCCATTATGAACAGTCAGTCATAGCATGTGCCCAGGAACCAGACGGCTGGGTTCGAACCCTGGCGTGCCATGGATTGTTACTGAAAGTGACCCATTTCGATCTGTAAAGCGAGGATAATATCCCCTGCCTCAATGACACTTCTCTACTAGACTGAGCACCCTACTCTAAAAATTCAAACTACAAAGTGCTTCAAAACCCAAAACTCTTGCGAGTACCAACATGTTGCCACAAGTGGAAAATTCCACAGTCAAAGGCACACTAAGAAAGAATCCTGTAGAAATTACCTTCAGATGTAATTTGGTGATTAGACTTGAGTCTTATCCTCAGGATCTCATATATGCAAATAATCCACAGTCTGAAAATCCCCAAATCTGAAATACTTCTGGTCCCATGCATTTTGGTAAAGGACAGATGCTACATGTGCTCCTATTCTCTCGTGCATCTTTCAAAGGAGCCTGTCTCCTCCCGTTTACAGAGACACCTCTGGGTGGGCAGGGTGGCAGAGCTTAAGAGCGTCTCCAGGGATTCTTAGCAGGTTTCCAAGAGCATGGGAGGCAGAAGAATGTCTTGCAGTGGTGGGACACTGGGCCTGGCTTTTCCTGGGGATTCTGGGTTCCTTCCCTCTAGTGCTTCCTCAGGCCCTGTTCTTGCTCCTCTGGCCTCCTAGTGAGTCTATGAGTCCCCAGTGAGTTCTGTTTCTGCCCAAGATTGCTGAGTTTGGCTTCTGCTGCTGGCCTCTGAGGACCCTGACTAATATTCAGGACTCTGTGCCAGGATGGCAGCTGGGGAACTGGGAGTAGGAAAAGGTAGGGCAGCCACTGGGACTGCACCAAGAGAAGCCAGAGGCAGTGGTGGAGAGTCAGCAAAATGCATTTAGCAGCAAGTAACGGAATTCCATGCAGTGGGGGAATCATCTCTAGTAACTAGGAGGCCAGGGACGGTGGCTCCAGGAACACTGTGAAACTAGGTGCTTTCTCTCCTTTCCTCCACAGCACAGTGGGCCACTGGCTTCCATCTTTTGGCTTAGTGCCTCAAAGTCACCAGCTGGAAGGCCTTGCTTCTCAACAGTCCACGGGGACAGATGGGGTTGATGTGAGAGTGCTCTTCTTACCCATTAGACCCGAGCAGGAAGGAGACTCTCCTAGTACACCCCCTTGACCCCAGTACGTCCATGTCTACCGGCCAGGCTATGGTCACGTGGCCACTCCAGCCTCAAGGGAAACTGGGAGAGCCGGAATCAGTAATCTTCTGATGGCCCCTGGGCCATGGGGGTCTGTCAGAAGAACAGTCTGGGTTCCTAGACTCTCACTTGTGAAGCAGCCTAGGGGCTGGGCTGAGAGAGTGCTCCCTTATAAGGTCTCCAAAGCTTAGAGGCCAGAAAAGCCTACAAACTAGCAAGTTTGTAGCAAGTACAAACTTGGTTTCCTCGCTCCAAAGGGGGCCATGACAGTGTCTGCCAGAACCTCACAGGGAGGGCAGAAGGGGAAAAGAAGCCTTCTGGGGAGGGGGGACATTTGTGGTATATGTCCTGGGCCTGCACAACTCTTTTCCCCAACAAGAGTCCAGATTTCTCCTTGGGGATTGGCCCTCTTGACTGCGACCCAATGAGCTCCTTCCCCAATTCAGGGACAAACTACACGAGCCAATCAGAACCCATGAGACCCAGTGATCTCTTCGCTAGGAATGCTGGAGCTGAAGACTGTTCTTTTCCCTCTTAGTCCAAGATGATGTGAGGGATGGAATCAATGCAGCCACCTTGTGACTGTAAAGAACAAGGGTGTAAGTCCTT